TTTTTGCATAAGCATCATCGTTTATTTGGGTTAATTTCAATTTCATCTTTGCTGATATCCATCGAGACTTGTGCCTATGTGCTTCTTTCTTGATCTTGCCGTTCTTGCTTGCAATATATCCATTGAGACTTGTGCCTATGTGCTTCTCTCTTGGTACGCATTGCGCTTTTATTTTTAAAACGGTTCCCCTTGCTACCTACTATTCCTTTTTTTTTTGCATAAGCATCATCGTTTATTTGGGTTAATTTCATCTTTGCTGATATCCATCGAGACTTGTGCCTATGTGCTTCTTTTTTGATCTTCTCGTTCTTACTTGCAATATATCCATTGAGACTTGTGCCTATGTGCTTCTCTCTTGGTACGCATTGCGGGGGGAGGCGCTGCGCCCTCCCCCCTGCACCCCCCCACCCGCTTTTATTTTTAAACCGGTTCCCCTTGCTACCTACTATTCCTTTCTTTTTGCATAAGCATCATCGTTTATTTGGGTTAATTTCATCTTTGCTGATATCCATCGAGACTTGTGCCTATGTGCTTCTTTCTTGATCTTGTCGTTCTTACTTGCAATATATCCATTGAGACTTGTGCCTATGTGCTTCTCTCTTGGTACGCATTGCGGGGGGAGGCGCTGCGCCCTCCCCCCTGCACCCCCCCACCCGCTTTTATTTTTAAACCGGTTCCCTTTGCTACCTACTATTCCTTTCTTTTTGCATAAGCATCATCGTTTATTTGGGTTAATTTCATCTTTGCTGATATCCATCGAGACTTGTGCCTATGTGCTTCTTTCTTGATCTTGTCGTTCTTGCTTGCAATATATCCATTGAGACTTGTGCCTATGTGCTTCTCTCTTGGTACGCATTGCGGGGGGAGGCGCTGCGCCCTCCCCCCTGCACCCCCCCCACCCGCTTTTATTTTTTAACCGGTTCCCCTTGCTACCTACTATTCCTTTCTTTTTTCCTGCTGCTACTACTGCTGCTACTACTACTACTACTACTGCTAACTACTAACTACTAACTACTAACTACTAACTACTAACTACTAACTACTAACTACTAACTACTACTAACTACTAACTACTAACTACTAACTACTAACTACTAACTACTAACTACTAGCTACTAGCTACTAGCTACTAGCTACTAGCTACTAGCTACTAGCTACTAACTACTAACTACTAACTACTACTAACTACTAACTACTACTAACTACTAACTACTAACTACTAACTACTAACTACTAACTACTAACTACTAACTACTAACTACTAACTACTAACTACTAACTACTACTACTACTACTACTACTCCTACTACTCCTACTACTCCTACTACTACTACTACTACGACGACGACGACGACTACTACTACTACTACCACTACGACTACGACTACGACGACTACTACTGCTGCTGCTGCTACTGCTGCTAGTGCTGCTACTACTGCTACTACTACTACTACTAGTACTACTACTACTAGTAGTACTACTACTACTACTATTACTACTACTACTACTGCTACTACTACTACTACTCCTCCTACTACTACTATGATATTTTTTTTGATACGGATATTTTTTTTGATCTAGGTTTGCAGCACGAAACCCGTGAGGTCTCACACAGTGGCACCTGGATATTTTTTTTGATGCATATATATTGTTTTTGATGCGTGCTGGATATTTTTTTTGATGCATTTTTATTTTTTTTTCGATACGTGTCTCGAACGAGATCCTCATGAATTGCCGGACAAAGCTGCCACAAATAGATGGCTGACGGGAAAAGACTCAAGCCTTTTGCGGTCACATTGCATTTATGATAGGGATGAATCTCCTTGTAAGAGCTAACTTGTTTTTTTGATTGTTTTTGTTTGAAGAGCTGATTTGCTAGGGTTTCATCAATGTGCTGTGGTGTTACAAGCGCCATGGTGGTTACAAAGAAATGCTATGCCTTCCAGATGTCTTAAACAGCAGTATCTTGGATGTGTTTCAAAATGATCCTTATCCGGGGCTTTTGTGTTTCGAAATGATCCTTATCCTCTGTGTTTCAAAATGAGCCTTATCCGGTGTTTCAAAATGATCCGGGTCCCCTCCCCAAGGTGCTTAACTGGCTGGATCCAAGAGGAAAACCGTCTTTGGACACAATTTTCACCAATTTTCAATGGTTGTATTACAAAGGTTTACAAAGTTAATTTCAATGTAACGGTGTAACGGCGTTAAATCTACCTGAACTTCCACTCTTGGTTTGGTTTGTCGAAAGCTGCAACTGGCTTTGACGAAGGCATCAACCCTTGTCATTGTGTGCAAGGGGCAGGTTCATTGGACCTGCAACAAATAAGTCTTAATAATATGATTAATATGTGTATCTGTATATACATATATAATATATATATAGTATACGTATCCGTATATGTATAATAATATACTGTATATATATATATACATATATGTATTACAATATATATATATATATATATGTATTACAATATATATATATGTGTATTACACTATATATATATAGATATCCAATCATGACCAGATCTACTGGTTTTACCAACAACATCAAATTTGACCCATAGAATATATTTTTTGCGTTGCATCTGATAGCATTTGCACAATGCGGTTGTGTCGTGCCCACATCAGGTCGGAAGCATCACCACATCAATGACTGCGCTGCGTAGCATGTGCCCTTTCTGAAAACGGCAAGTGCATCGGTGCCTGAAATTCCAAGTGGAAGATAAAATTATGTCACATTGTGTTTTACGGATTTTGGGCATGGGGTGAACTCATGGATGTTTGAATTTGTGTAGTTCTTGGGGTTGAGGGATCTGATCATTTTCACAAGCAAAAGGCAAAAAGTAGAGCTGACTTCCACTTCTGAGAATTTACACCTCCAATTCAAATTCCCCAGTGTGGCACGCAGAAGAAAGATATCGCTTGAACATGGCACATTACATACTAAAACAAGCCACTTTGGTCAGCAGGGCTGGTAGGACCAGTACTGGAGATGTGCTGAACCCAATTTGGCAAGCTCAGACTTCAGCTCAAAAACAGTGCTCAGGAGAGCTGATACCAAGAAGCAGTTTTGGATGCTTCGACGTTGCTGTGCTCAGCATTGACCTGTTCTGTTCTTGATTGGTGGTTTTACCCTCTGGTACACTAACATAGCTATTGAAAATTGCCCATTTATAGTTGATTTACCTATTAAAAATGGTGATTTCCTTAGTTTTTTGTATGTTTACCAGAGGGTAACACATTTCAACCCCCGGAATTTGTGGGGTTGGAACATGGTCATCCATAGGGTCGTGTACCTGGATGTACCCCGGGTACCCCTACATCCATGGATTAAAACATTAAAAAAAACCTTACTGGTGCTTAGTAGGGAATGGATGGGTTGCTGGGGGTTGCTGGGATGATTATTACTATGGATCATTCCCGAAAATTCCCTGCGTTTCGCACCAGTAAGGAAATGATCATAGAATGTCATTATGAGTAATCCCATCCTAATATTCAATATATTTAATATCCCCAGAAACCATGGCTTGGGGAATTGACACACATTTACTGTAAGGGACTATTAAGGGGGTGTTTAATATTAGGGGATTGGAGTCATTGGAGTATGTTTATATTCCCGTCCCATTCTCAGACAACCACAGCAGATCATCCTGAGGTCAACTTCTACGTGTTTTTATTGTAGATTTTCCCGAGAATGAAACAAAAACAGACACGTGATTCCCAGTATGAGATGCAGAGCTCAACACCTCGTGCTGTTCAAGAGGAATCGGCGAGATATTCCTCCAGATTCATTAGCTCTTACATGCTCTTACGCTTTACGACGAAAGAGGGAAACTCATTCAGAAGAGCTGCATCCATGTCTACTTTTTCAGAACGGTCAAACGTCAAACGAAGTGTCATTTTAGCTTGAAGGGTAGGGCATCTTTCGTGGCCTCCCGCGGCGTCTCAGGCTACTTGGGTTTCAAGAAAGTTCCGTTCCTTGGCAAAATCCCCCAACTGGGATTTCTTGTCATCAAAATTGTTCGGATGATTGCAACACTGATTAAAATGAAGCATTATGAATCTCGTGTATAATATGTTACAATATGATCTTATGCAATGTAATGTAACGTAACGTAATGTAACCAACGTAATGTAATGTATGTACAATGTATACATACCAAACGGGCCAAATAGCCCAATTGGTTTAGCATGGTTGCTGTGTCAGGTCCGTCCATTTTCGGTCCATTCTGGTTGAAGCTAAGGTATGCCACGAGGTCGAGGATTATCAAATTCTTGGAGTTCCAATGTGCCAAGAGATCGGCAGAAGTCAGTGCTTGGGCGATGAAATATCTGGGAAAATGAGTGCTTTATGGTTGATGATGGAATAGTATAGATGATGGTTCATTTTTTGGGGCACCCCAAGGACAAACCAATGATTGATAGATGATTGATAGCCATGACTATATAGAGGTTCCTAAAATGGAGGTACCCATCAATCATCCATTTTAGATTGGGATTTTCCATGAAATAAACCATCCATCATCATCCATATTCATCCATCTATTTTGATGTACCACCATTTATGGAACCCCCCATATCTCTATTTCCAAGATGAAGTCCCCCAACTTTCTCGGTTTTTTTTCCCGTTCCATAAAAGCCGAGGTGTTGAGAGCATCGAGTCGCCCGTGCCTGTTAACCATCCGGCTGTATGTTGCTGTCCCTTTGCACTGAAACAAGAAAAACAAAACCACATGCTCCTGAGAAATGAAGACTTGCACTTCATGAAACATGATGAAACATGTTTTGGACATGACATGCCTCCTTTTTCGGTTGCTGCTTGAAAAGTTCTGTTCACATTTGGCTCACTTTGGGATCCGAATTGACTCTTGAAATCTTGGGTGGCTTTTTAAGCACCAATTGGCTGGTCACATGTCTACCGCAGCATCTCATGGTTGATCAATGGCTATTTGGGGTGATATACTCACTGAAATCTGGACCCAGGAGGTGCTAATATTTCCTAGTTATAGATGACATTAATATACCCCATTTTCATATGCACAATATTCCATGGGTGCATCCAGTGCATCCCATGGATATGGGACCCATATGAATCCCCTCTGGAGACACGAGAAGTCCCACGCTGTTTCCCAAATGCCAGGATTTTGGATTTGCTGTCTGTTCCTCTGCAAAATTTGCTGCAGTTCGAGCTGAGAAAACAACTATTAGAGGCCAAGAAGCAGGGTGGATTGGATATTCTTTTACGGAAAGCTCATGTAAGTTTCCGTGTTTTCTCGCAAGATCTCACAAGTATTTAGGTTTCACGAAAAATGGAACCTCATTTCACGACCATTTTGGACGAAAAGTGATGATGACAATCACAGATTTGTCGTCCGCTGAACCCTCTTCGCTCCACTCCTTCAGGGACATCCCTTCTTCGCGTATCTCCAGGAGTGTGAGCGGACGCGCAGGGTGAATTTGCCAAAACTCGGGGCTTAAAACGAAGTATTAAAAAAAAACATCATTAAACCTATCATACCATATGGATCCATATGGGTGAAAGGCATGAAGAATTGTTTAATTACCAGCTATTTATTTATGTTAGGGGTTTGACAACCGGCAGATGATGATTCCAACAGGTCACGCATCCTCAGGAGCACATGCTGCCGATCATGATTAGCATCTGCTCCAGAGTGCCTTGGTGAATGACCAAGCTCTTGGTTGATGATGTTGATGAGTAACCGGGTTATTCACCTACCCGTCGAAATATTGGGGGTCATCATGGCAATCATCATTGCAATCATCATTGCAATCATCATTGCAATCATCATTGCAATCATCATCATCATCATCATCATCATCATCCATGAACTGGGAATTTCACCAATTTATTTCAGTCAGATCAGAATCGTCTGCAGTCAAAACTGCCGTTGCTGTCAGGTGCTCAAGTTGACGGCCTTTGCCCCCGAGGACCGTGGACGACGCAACGTGGGTTCGTTGCGTCAACCGGAACCCAACCGGAACCCGGTCACAACCCAGCAACAACCTCGTGTTAGTAAAATTGCCTGGGGGTATACACCACAGGCACACCCATAGCTTCAACAAGCCTGATGGAAGTGGTGGAATGGTTGAACATGTTCTGGTCATTCGCAGTGAACTTAAGTTTGAAAAGGACTGTGCACCTGGCCGCCCATATCTTGTTGGATGTGTCATTGCCATTCATTGACGACATGTTTTTCAATATTTAACCGCTTTCGGCGGGTTCCACCGGCCACCATGGAAAGAGCTATCTTATAGGCTGCAAAAACGGCCTTGCACAGGCCCAGCAAGAACATGGTTTTTGTGTAAAACATGGTTTTGTGGATAACACAGTTTTGTGTAAGACAGCTCTTTGTGTAAAAGATGGTTCGGACGCAAAAACATTGATTTTGTTCAAACCACGGTTTAAGTTTAAACCAAAGCATGTGTGTAAACCAGGGTTTTGGAAAAGGCCATATTGAAAACGGCTTTGGAAAAGGCCATATTTAGAAAGGTTATGCGATGTTATGCGTGTAAAAGGTGTTCGGCACAAAAGCCAGTGGATCAAGTATTGGATATAATCATTGACACATGTTTTTGCCTGCGGACCGAAAACCGTTCCCGTAAAACGCACGTTTTTGAATATCGCGATTGTGGGGTGGGGTGGGGTGGGGTGGGGTGGGGGGGGCATGTTAACGTTCCTTGTACTTCGTACATGATATATTGCCATGCTGCTAAGATCTCTGGGATTATTTACTACGTTACATGTTGCTACGCTGCTGAGGGGGGTGACGTGGGGGGGCATGTTAACGTTCCTTGTACTTTGTCAAAAAGGTCACCAGAAACCGGCAGAATCTCAGCTGCCACACTGGCACCATAGATTCTATGTGGAATCTGATGAAAAAGTCAATTCCCAGCAACTTGAGTGCCAAAAGTGACCTCTTGATGGTGTATGCTAGAGCTTGGCAATGGAGATGCATTCACAAGAATGCTGACTGCCAGCTGATAACGGTGCATGCGTTGCAGCGATGACGCTGAAAAGCCGAAAAACGCGCCCCAAGTTTTTCCAGGATTTCCAATCATCAAATCAGCACGGCACTGTGGTAAAATCACTATTTTTTAAAAAAACGTGCGTTTTATGGGCACGGTTTCCGGTCCGGCGGGATGTTTTTCAATATTCTCTGCAAGTGTGGGGATAAAGCGGAACTCCACCAGCCTATCTTCCAGGATGTTGTATTCCGTCCTGGTGAAGAGTCAACCTCCATGTCAGCATCCTCAGTCAGATCTTGGTCCTTATCACTGGCGCCATAGGATGTTTTAACAGAATCCATGTCCCCGAAAAAAATGTGGCCTCAATGCTGGGTATCGCCATGGGCATCTCGAGGTATGTGGTGCAGAGCGGAGATATGGAATATCGCGTTCATTCCTCGAATCATGAGTGTTTGGTGGCGTGAATCCTGGCCTGTTTCGACGGCTAGACTGGGTAGACCTTAGATGGATAATTACAGGACTTACTGTACCATGTGTATACACCACCTATATGGTGGTTTCCTGAAATAGGGGTACCCCAAATCATCCATTTTAATGGCATTTTCGATTATAAACCATCATAAACCATCCATTTTGGGGGTACCACCATTTATGGAAACCTCTATATATGTTGATGGCTTTACTCACATTAAATGACATGCAAGGTAGTTACTAGTTAAGATTGGCCATGGTTTGTGCGGATGTTTATGACGCTGAAAACGCATCCACGGTTCTATCAGCGGAGATACATTGCTTTGATCTTGGTGATGTGTTCGTCGCATTTTGCCAGGGAGTTTAATGGTTTACTTCTAAGACGGTTTGGTTTGAAGCCGGCCAACTAATTATTTGGAGTTTCCCTGGAAATGGTTGTGAATGGTTATGACTGATCATTTGACTGCTACATATTGTTGGTAAGTAACCTGAAGGTTGTGGTGCATGAAGATATCAGGCAAAAATTAACACCATTCACAAAAGTCAAGGTTTTTCACAAGACTAATCATAAAGCATGACTGCCAACATAACTTCCAGTAAATCAATGTATGCATCAACTTGCTGGTGATGGCAAGCTCAAAACCAGGGACTGTCCCCAGCGACTTGGAGGTTCATTTTCACTGGCTTCGCCACATTATTTGGGTTATATAACTATACAACAGCAAGCATTTAGCTCTATGTTTCCATTTATATCCATTTATTGTACTATAATCATCCTGGAGTAGACAGAATGGACATTTCAAAAAAACTCACTGAAATGGGAAGATGCCTGAACATTCCATAGTCTATCTACTTTAGGATTGTGTATCATTGTGTATCTACCTTCATTGGATTGGTGGAAAAAAGTGAAGGACACTGATACAGTATTTGATGGTTAAAAGCGATCCTTTGAATGTCATTGGAATTGATTAAATCCCATTTAACCCCCACTATATAAATATTAAAACGCATGAACATCCATTACATAAACCCCCATTCAATTCCTATTCAAAGCCATTCAAAACACCATTCAAAGACCTTGGAAAACTCATTCTATAATCAATGGTAATTCATATTCACTATTCATGGCTTTTTCATGGCTTTTTCATGGGTTTTTCCATGTTTTTCCCATGAAAATCTGTTCGAAAAAGCCATGGTTTCCGTGGGAATTCGCCAGGCACCAGGTCGGAGCCCTGGCCTGGCTCTCCGAGGCAGCTCTATGGACCAACTGGTGCGGCAACCCGCGGTGGTTTTCCGGGACGACGTTTTCCGGGACGGGTGGCCTGGTGGCCCCAACACATTGGGGCAGAATTCCATGGGAAATGATAGGGAAACATAGGGAAACCATGGGATTGAATGGGATTTTATAGTGATTTAATGGGATATGAATGGGATATACCCTCCGGTTATGTCAAAATAGCTATTAAAAATGGCCATTGATTTATAGTGGATTTAGCCATGAAGAATGGTGGATCTTTCCAGTTCGCTATGTAAATGTTTACCAGAGGGTATGACAACATGATGGAAAACATCTGGGAAATGCATCGAACTTATGATGGAAAACATGCATGGAAATGCTGAACTGTACATGTATGGCAACATATGTGAAGTGCCATGGAAAATTATGAAATACCAAAATGTAGGGAAACATATGGGCAGTTTATGGCTGGCCAGTATGTGGGAAAATGATTGGACATATTTGGAACAATATCGGAGATCCTAAGACATAAGAGACGTTATACAAGATAGGCTTGACTCAAGATACCTTTTTGACGAAGCTCACAATTGTCATATGACAAAGGAAAGGTGCTGGACCTTCTCCACCGAAAAACCCGCAGTTTTCCTGGCAAGAGACAACATCAATTGGTCGGCTAGTTGGTTCTATGCTTCCGACACTTAAGAACAATTATATACCATTTTCCTAAACTTGTCATGAACTTAGGATTTGGGAGCGAGAACTTGGTGACTTCAAACATCATAAACATCTAATGAGGGTAAAACAATAATGAGATATAATGAGCCACCCGTTTGGGAACGGTCTATACATGTCTATACCACCTATTTATGGTGAATTGGGGGATGGTTTATCATTGTTTTACCCACATTAACAGTTTTTCTCATCCCATTCAGCAGTATGAATTAAGCCATATTAAACCCCCATTCTCTCATTACCGCAGCACCACAGTTGTTCATCTGGCCAGGTGGCATCGCGGCTACTTCACCAGTCGCGCTGCTTCCTGGATTGGCATCATCAAACCAGGCAGCCAGCGGTGACGGATTTCACGACGGCCCGACGGTGAAAGCTGAAAGCCGCCATGCCGCCATGAAACCATGGAAATCCCATGGAAAGTTAATTTCAAGAAAAGTTGATGTCCAAAAAATATGGGCGAAGATCAATGAACAGAACGTTGATGAAAAATGGTTTTAATGCATCATCGATCTGCATTTCCAGATATGACCAGGCAGATCTTCAACTCAGAGCTCTTATATCTAGCAATTATGTGTGTGTGTCGATCTATTATATCTATATATCAATCTACCAATCTATCCATCAATCTAAGTACCTACCTTTCTAGCTAGCTACCTGCCCACCTATATCTCTCTCTTTATATAATAATATATATATAAAATATAATATATATATATATTATAATATATATATATTATAATATATATATATATTATATTATTGTACCAGTAGTACCGCACAAGGCGGTGGCGGAAGTTTCAAAAATAGGAAGCCTATAGGAGAGGTTGGTTGTTGTGATGCATGGATGGCAGAGCGAAACCACTGATGGACCGAAAGGTGGTTGGAGTTGTGATTTTTGGAGTGGTTGCAATGGTTGCAGTGGTCACCTCACCACAACTGCTGGATGTAGTGTGGTGTAGTGCAGTTGTAGTTGTAGTTGAAGGGTAGCATAGTGGACTTGTAGTTGTAATGTAGTGCAATTATATAGTGTAGTGTAGTTGCAGTTGCTGTTGCAGTTGTAGTTGTGGTGTGTTGTAAATAGCGTAGTGTAGTGTACTGTAGTGCTGTGTACTGTAGAGTGGTATAGTGTAGTGTCGTCTAGTGTGGTGTAGTGTAAAGTAGTGTAGTTTTAGTTGTAGTGTAGTGTAGTGCAGTGTAATGTAGTGGCAGTTGTAGTTGTAGCGTAATGTATGTTAATTAGTGCAGTGTAGCGCTGTGTAATGTAGTGTAGTTGTAGTTGCATTTGTATCTGTAGCTGTAGCGCACTGCAGTGTAATTGGTGTAGTGTAGTGTATAGCCGTGCAGTTGTAATTGTAGTTGTAGCTGTGGTCGTGGTAGCAGTAGTGCTAGCACTAGCAGTAGCAGCAGCAGCAGGAGTAGAAGCAGTAGCAGCAGCAGTAGGCAGGTAGCAGGTAGCAGGTAGCAGGTAGCAGGGGTGTAGTGTAAATAGTGTAGCGCAAGGTAGCGTAATACATTTGCATTTGTAATTGTAGTAGTATTTTAGTGCAGTGGTAGTTGTAGTTGTAGTTGTCAATCTATCTATCTGTCTACCTGCAAGCTTGAGAACGAAGCTATTCTGCGAGACTTCCTCCATTTTTGATTTTAACAACATCAAAAACGCAGCAATTCCGCGAGACTTCCTCAACTTTTGAACTTGGTAAAGTCAAAAATGAAGCAATTCTGCGAGACGTCCTCAATTTTTGGAGTTGGCAACATCCAAAACGAAGCAATTCTGCGAGCGTTCCTTCAATAATGGAAAGTTGAGTGCAGAGCTGACGGCCTCCTGCCAATGCGATTTTTCCAGTCCACCTGTCTAAAGTACTGTGCCTGCCAGGAAAAGTGACGCCAGGTCATACGAAGTGCTGCACCTGTCACACAAAATCATCTTCCCAAAACTGAAGATTTGATGCTCCAAAATGCAACCCCTCACAGGAAATCACCGCCCGGACCTCCTAACATCTCTGATGAACATGTCTCTTGCACTGCGCCTGCCACAGAAAATGCATTTTTGCAGATCCACTTCGAATGCCCCACGCCTGCCAACACTTTTGAAACTGACACAAAACCCTCACGTTTTGCTCATTTTTGACAAGGTGCACAATCCCTTGCGCCTGCCACGCGAAACGACATCTGACCGTCCAGAAGTGGTCCGAGCATGTGGTGTTTTGATGTTTTTAACATGTTGACTTGGAAATGTGCTTCGTGCCACAACGGCGTGCACTTTTGCAACATCTCAACTTCCAAAGGTGCTCCGAAGCTGGTGTGATTTGACTTCGAAATGTGCTTCGCGCCACAACAGCATGCACTTTTTCGACATCTCAACTTCCAATAGTGTTCCCAACGTGAAGTTTTTTTAGTTTTTTCACTTCGAAATGTGCTTCGCGCCACAACGGCGTGCACTTTTTCGACATCGCAACTTCCAAAAGTGGTCCGACAATGGTGTGTTTTGTACATTTTGACTTGGAAATGTGCTTCGCGCCACAATGGCGTGCTATTTTTCATCTTTCATCTGGCCAGCTGGCTCCGCACCCGCCGCTTTAGCGAGCCTACTTTTCGACCCTCCGGAGCCTCAAATCATTGGAAAAACGCAGTGTTTCGCGACTTTCCTACCTTTTCGCGCATCTGCATCTGCTTTCTTCTGACTCTTTCTCTTCTCTGATCTTCTCTCTTCTACTCTTCTCCTCCCTGACTCTTCCCACCTCTGCTTTTCCATCTGTCCATATTGTCGGTCGGAAGTTTGACTTCTAAACTTCCTTCGATCAGAACTGACTTACAAACCACGAAGTTACTCAGTTTGTCTGGTGAATCCATGGTGTTTCTGGCATAGCCAGGACCTCTGGCTGAGATCGCGAAGATTCACACCGCGCCCTGGTGCTTCTGCAGGCGCCAAAGAGCATGCTTTGGCAGAGAGGGCGGGCCCAAATCGGAGATGCCCTCCAAAATGGGGGATTAATGATGATTGTTGTGGGAAACGTGTGATTAAATCTGCCATTAGTATTAGCACATGATATCAAATGATATCAATGAGATTTGTATTTGTTATGTTTAATTTTTGGATATCAAGGAGATAGCAACCAATCCTTTTTTATTGGGATATGACTGGCGATACTATGGGGAATCATGGAAATTAATGGCATATAATGTTGTCGACTGATTAGTGGGCGGGCCCCCCCCCCCCTCAAACAATTTTAGTCTACTCAATAACTGACCTTTTTTTTGCGCCCCCCCACCCTCAACAATTTTTTTGAATTGATTTCAATTTACTTTTAATTGAAATCAATTTACTTTCAATTGATTTCAATTTACTTTTAATTGATTTCAATTTACTTTCAATTGATTTCAGTTTACTTTCAATTGATTTTCAATTTACTTTTAATTGAATTCAATTTACGTTCAATTGACTTTCAATTGATTTCAATTTACTTTCAAGGGTTTTGTTTTTTTTTTTCGACCCCAAAAGTTGCTTGGCACAATAGAGTACCATCCAAACATTCATATTATTGAGTAACTGAGCCACTCATGAGGTACCCCCTTGAAAAATTGTCTGGATGCTGTTTTTTAATAAGGGTTTAATAAGGCATCTAATTATTTGGAAAACCTTGCATTTTAAAGATTTAACACAAATATGGCTTTCTAAAGTAAATGGACCAGCTTTACTCAAAGAAAGGTGGAGAAGGTTTTTGATTTTTTTTTCAACCCCAAAAGTTGCTTGGCACAATAGAGTACCATCCAAACATTCATATTATTGAGTAACTGAGCCACTCATGGGGTACCACCTTGAAAAATTGTTTGGATGCTGTTTTTTAATAAGGGCTTAATAAGGCATCTAATTATTTGGAAAACCTTGCATTTTAAAGATTTAACACAAATACGGCTTTGTAAAGTAAATGGACCAGCTTTACTCAAAGAAAGGTGGAGAAGGTTTTTGATTTTTTTCAATCCCAAAAGTTGCTTGGCACAATAGAGTACCATCCAAACATTCATATTATTGAGTAACTGAGCCACTCATGAGGTACCCCCTTGAAAAATTGTCTGGATGCTGTTTTTTAATAAGGGTTTAATAAGGCATCTAATTATTTGGAAAACCTTGCATTTTAAAGATTTAACACAAATATGGCTTTCTAAAGTAAATGGACCAGCTTTACTCAAAGAAAGGTGGAGAAGGTTTTTGATTTTTTTTCAGCCCCAAAAGTTGCTTGGCACAATAGAGTACCATCCAAACATTCATATTATTGAGTAACTGAGCCACTCATGGGGTACCACCTTGAAAAATTGTTTGGATGCTGTTTTTTAATAAGGGTTTAATAAGGCATCTAATTATTTGGAAAACCTTGCATTTGAAAGCTTTAACACAAATATGGCTTTCTAAAGTAAATGGACCAGCTTTACTCAAAGAAAGGTGGGAAAGGTTTTTGATTTTTTTTTCAACCCCAAAAGTTGCTTGGCACAATAGAGTACCATCCAAACATTCATATTATTGAGTAACTGCGCCACTCATGGGGTACCACCTTGAAAAATTGTTTGGATGCTGTTTTTTAAAAAGGGTTTAATAAGGCATCTAATTATTTGGAAAACCTTGCATTTTAAAGATTTTACACAAATATGGCTTTCTAAAGTAAATGGACCAGTTTTACTCAAAGAAAGGTGGAGAATGTTTTTGATTTTTTTCAATCCCAAAAGTTGCTTGGCACAATAGAGTACCATCCAAACATTCATATTATTGAGTAACTGAGCCACTCATGAGGTACCCCCTTGAAAAATTGTCTGGATGCTGTTTTTTAAAAAGGGTTTAATAAGGCATCTAATTATTTGGAAAACCTTGCATTTGAAAGCTTTAATTTAAAAAACTGAAAAACAGAAAAACATTTTTAAGTAACCAATTTAAAAATAAATTCAAAAAATAATTAATTAATTAGGAACAATTTTTAGAAAAAAAATCTGGGAAAACATTTGCCACAATAGAGGCCCCCCCCACCAAACAGCAGGTTACTGAATAAGGAGGAAAAAGTTTGCCACAATAGAGTACCATGCTACTAATCAGGTGCCAACATTAACCAAAAATATTGGGTACATCGGTTTGTCCTGAAATAGGGAATTAATATATATATATATATATGTATAGATATATATATATATATATGTATGTATATACATATGGATATATGTGGGAATTCACTGGGATATTAATCGGCTAGATCATCCACGTGTATATCATGGAACATATCCAAATGTATCTCAGATATAGCAATGTCTGAGAATAGGATACCCTTCCCAGGAGTCAAACAACATGAACAAATTGGATGGTTCTTCAGCCACTAAAATGGCGATGACATGAGAAAGCTGTTTGCCTTGGAGGCAATATGCAGCTGTTTTTGTGGACAACCTCAACCGATTCTCGGAAGTTTCCTTGGGGGAGCTTGGCAAGGTACCCTTTGGTAATCAAAGACAGCAATGGAAAATCCCGTATAAATGAGGGTTTTAATGGGAGAATCGTCCATAAATTAAATAGGTGATGTTCCATTGCAATGATTGATTACCAGAGAGTAGATTGGAGATTGGGAGCGTGGATGTCCTTTTTCCATTTGTCCCATCTGGTCTGATGACCGGTTACCATGCCATTGAACCAGCAACGGGGTAGTTGAGGTAGATGGTATTCAAAGAGATCTCTCCTTTTCTAAAAAAAACATTGGTTGTAAGTCCCTTGAACTTTTGAGATTGAACGGCAGAATTTGCTTGCTTTGCGTGAAAAAAAATCATAGAGTCTTTCTGTCGGTTCCAATTTTGATGGTCGAGACGGTCACGACGGTGGTTTCAGCCACCAGAACTTGGGTTTGTTTGAAAATACGATACTCCCAGAATCTGTGGTTAATCGTATTTTTTCGTATTAAACCGTTTTATTGGAGTTAATTCTAATTATACCCAATTTTTGGACAGCCTCAAATATCATTGATCATCATTTTGATTCATCATTGATCATTGGCAATCATTGGTTGTATATCCCATGAACTATCCCAATATAATCGCGAGAATCCCCATTTTAAAGGTAACAAATCACCATCCTCGCCTTAGATCAAGGATTGAACCAAGAGTCCTGGAACGACCTTGGCCTCGACACCGAAAAGCTTCAGGCAGTTGGGCTGCATCCCAAAATCATCCAAAATCCGTGAAAAATCCCATGGAGAATCATCATTTTCCCACGCTTCGTTGCCATAACTGGATGGGCACAGAGGGTTTGTCTTTGGGTCAGTTGCAAGAGATGAGTGGAATCTGGATCGCAGGAGATTTGTTGACCCAACATGCAACGAAAGGCGTTCTTGATAGATGGGTGTGTCTGAAAATGTTGTGTAGCCCTAAACCCAATGGTTTTGCTGATCATTATCCCTATTAAATGGCTATTTCATTGGGAATATACCCCATTTTCAGACATACCCAGATGAGAAGCGGGATATTGTAGGGTAATGTAGGAGTGTTCTCGGGTGAGATATGAAAGATCGATAAAGTTTACTGCAAAATTGACCATTGCTGACGAGTGCAGTGCAGTTGTTCATCTTGAGTGATCTTTGAACGCATTCCACATATGCATATACATATATATATATGGTATATTTTGCTAGTCATTCCCGCACATAATGACTGGTTCAAGCAATCATACTACTATCATATACCTATTGTATCTCATCATTGTCGCATCAAATCCCATTCTATCCTCATCAATCTTTTGGGTGGTGATGTATTACCCTCCAAGAAACTCGCATAGCTATTGAACATGGCCATTTAAATAGTTGATTGTCCTATAAAAAATGGCGATTTTCCAGAGTTATGTCAGTCTACCAGAGGGTAGATCACCATTAATCACCATTAATTATCATTATTAACCACTATTAACCACCATTAACCACTATTAACCATTGATTCACCGTGGCCGTGGCCAAAACAACGTTGCGATAAGTTGCAACACCGTGGCGCCACGGCACAGGGTCTCGTGGAGGGAGCCAAGAATCCGGAAAACTTCTTGGTGCGGCGGCCGAGGGATTGGATGGGTAAAAAAAAGATGTTATGAGATGTTACAATAGGAGGTCACACTATCCTATATATATACATATATATATATACACATATATATATATACGTATATATATAATTGTGTGTATATATATAATTATATATATATTTATTTTGAGATATTTTGTCAAAATAGGGGGATTACATGGTTATACTATCCAATGTATGGCGACACATCATGAAATATCATCATCCACATATGGGAATCACCTATGAAACTCATCGTAACTCATCAGTGAGAGATGGCATGACAGATGGTTTTGAACACTGCTCAACTGATCTCAGAAAATGTGGATGCAATCCAGAAAAAAGGGTGGGATATTGGGGTAAGAATCAATCATGGGGAACAGAAACCGTTCGGACAGATGGACAAATCGGACAAGTGAAAAAACCAACCAGCGCCAAGATTGAGAGCCTGCAAACTTTGATACCCATCAACGAGGAACCCAGAAGTAGAATGCCCAGAACATCCCAGAACCACGTTTTACGTATTTGGCTTTCTTGGCCTTTCACTAGGATTCTAGCAGTTCAAGCCAAATTTAGCCAGCAATTTGATACACTCTCATACTTCTATTTGAAGATGCACGTCTTTCACAGAATGGTGGGTCATGTCCCATATCATCGATGCCGGGTATTGTATATATATATATATGTATATGTATATATATATATGTATATGTATATATATATATTCAGGTATGATTTGCACACAAGATATATCCAAGAATTAACTATCGACAAATTTTTGCTTTTCAGCTAGAAGGAGCTTTGGGTTTTCGCCGTTAGTGGTCTTTTTTTGTGAGGCTCAATGGGGTCGAAACTCAGGTCCTGCGGGTGTGTTTTTGTAGGTGCTGAGTGCTGAAGGTATTGTTTTAATTTTTTCCAATGGTTCATCCACCTGGACTGAGAAGTTCTTTTTGTTCCGCCCCTTCCAGCAATTCCATGTAAATTGCGGGTTTCTAAAGCACTTTCGCATTGAAGCCCATGGTCACTTGGGGATCCCCATTGTAGGAACCCGGTAAACCATAGAGGCATCGGAGCTTGTGAGTAACACGGAAAACCAACCCGGCTTGAGGAGAAAGAGACGAGGCCCCAGTCCGATTCGACGCACAAATCAATGCAGCTTTGATCCAGTGTCGTTTGGAATTTAGTCTTTGATCTTTGGGAATTCATTAAGATAGTACACAATACCATAAGATTTATAGATATGTATGGTATGTTTATGTCATGTTTCGGTATATATGGGTATGACTAGGCATTTTTACAGACACAGCTTTGATGAGGAAGCCGTTGATCAGTCGAGGCTGAAACCATGTTTGCATTTTTTTTTCCAAACAAGTATCAGATTCTTCTCCAAGGATGATGGATTTACATGGCGGATTTGGCAATGGAAATCCTGAGGAGGTCCTAAGCTGGTTGGTGGTTTCAAACATTTTTTATTTTCTATAATATATGGGGATAATCATCCCAACTGACTTTCATATTTTTCAAGATGGTTAAAACCACCAAGGTCATCCTATTCTGATATCATATGTTCATGATTCATGATTTTTCATAGGTCATCCTCATGTCCCCCCATTGTTGCCTCATTGTTCGATGATAATTTTTGGGGGTACCCTCTGGTAAACTAACATAGCTATTGAACATGGCCATTTATAGTGAGTTTTCCCATTAAAAATTGTGATTTTCCATAGCTATGTTAGTTTACCAGAGGGTACCTGTACCCGGTGTCATCAGCTCCATGGCTTTTCTGCATTTGCGCAGTTCTGTTGGCTGATTTCCCGTCCCAAGCAGCGGCCAAGCTACCACCTGCAGGTCCCGGGGGGTTGAATCATGGGCCGTCCCAGTCTCAGCGTGGGCGTTTCTGCGACTGAGTAGGGATCTGCTATTGGGGGGGTATAGCCCATTGAAAACCAATGAATTATGATGGTTTGTTAATGGTTATAAGTCATGGTTGATGATGGTTGATGATGGTTTAGTGATGGTTGTGAAGTAATACGATGATGGCTGATGATGGTTGATGAAATGTTAAAACACATGTTAATGATGGTTTTTATACTGATCATGATAGCACACAAATACACATTCACACATTCAGACTCAGACTAACCTTTTTTATAGATCAGAAGAGTAATCTCATGATCTTTCTCAGCAATACCCAACTGGGATGATACTGGAAAATACTAGAAAGAAATTCCAAGTTTTCACAAAGAAACAGTTCTGGCTTAGCCATTTCCCATCTGCCCTTCATTTACGCGCCCGGCTGTCGCCAGGATTCGGATGATGGTCGCAGTATACGCAGCTCACGGAACAGTTCCAAGGTTCAAAACCGTTTGGGAAAGCCTTTGGCATGGCGCTTGCGCTGGATAAACCAAACGCTTCAGCGGCTGAGTTTTGTCTTGTTTACCTTTTGGAATATGAATGAATAGGTATTATATAATTATATATATATATATTTGGAATGATTGTACTAATGATTTTATATGTCTCTTCTTTTGACTATGAATAAGTGGGGAATACATGTCAATATGTATCTATCTATATCATATTAGTCTCAACCTTAAGTAACAAAGAACTGTTTTTGGCAGGCTATCTGAGATTGGCCAAGGTTTGGCGGCAAACGCCACTGAAAAATTGTGGGTTCACATGTCCCAACATAGAGGATCATATGGGCTTTTACAGAATCGGGGCACCCAATGCCTATGGTTTTTGTTGTACGAAAAAGGGGGCTTTTGTTCAGCCAGAAAATTTGACGTTAGAGTGCAGGTGCCAGGGTTTTCTTCCACAACCATATAAGATCTATTTTTTAGGGATATACCAATGTCCCTGAACAAAAATCGCAAGGACATCAGAGCAGTTTGGAGCAAAGATGACCAATTTTGGGCCTCCACCAGACACCCCCAGTTGTGAGAAAAAGGGGTCACCAAGAAGATCTGAGAAGTCATGGAAAACTTAAGACGTTTGATTTTGTTGTGATTAGCATTTCTTGATCTTGGTGGGACCCCCACAGCTATAACTGGATATAATTTCTCCATTTCCAACTGCTAAAGGTCCAAATTTGTCACCACAAAAATCGTTCTGGCCAGGTCCAGGAGCGACCCTTCTCAGGCTTCAAACTCTGACGCAGGCAGCATGGTGCAGATGGGAAGTGCAACACGTTCCCAATTTTGGTGAGTATATATATATATAAATAGGGATCAGGACAGTTTCTTCTATCAGATTCTATCAATATGATATATGGGTGGACACCCCTCATGGCATGACTCAATGACCCTACCACAGAGCTCAACATGGCCATGCGAACATCCCGCTGGTAGGATGCATAGGTTCTTCGGTTTATCCCTGGAATGGTGAACTTTTCGGCAAAAACACACACATGTATGTATGTATATATACACACATATGTTGAGGCAGTTATTGAGTAGTTAAGATAGCTTGTCTAGTATTGTTTGATCCAGAACTAGTCCCTTCCCGTCCCCCCGATTTATGGAAGCAAGACAAGTGCGTATAGATTTGTAAAGATTTTTCTATGATAGTACATACGGAATTGAAGGACCCCTATTTTTATTATATATTTTGGACATTCTGTGGATTAGCAAGACTTGACGCGAATCATTTATACATATTTATACAACACTATGCAATTACAGTATATGATAGTATATGAATACATATGCATTAATATACACAGTATAGACATATAACATGGATTAACATGGTCCATAGCCACCCCAAAATCTCCGTTCTCTCCATATGTGCTGTCCATTCAACCTGGGTGACATCCCCTGGGACAGGCGATGGTTAGTCGGGAGCAGTTCGGAGCTATAGGTCTCCAACGACTTTCCGCACAAAAAATGCATTGGGAGTCACGAATGGAGCTACGAATTTTCGAGTTTCCCTTAAGCACGGCCGATAGTTTCATCGAATCTAATCTCGAATCTAATCTTAAGCTATAGCTGATGGTCGGATAAAAAACTGTATGGTTAGCAAGAATCAGATCTGGCAAACCCCTGCGATGGTTGACTTTATTTCTTTGATATTCCCGCAGCCAGTAACATGTTATCATCATTCAATGCGTTAAAACACAACTAAGTTACCCGCTGGTAATTCAACATAGCTATTGAAAATGACCATTTATATTGGATTTTCCCATTAAAAATGGTGATTTTCCATAGCTATGTTAGTTTACCAGAGGGTAAATTACATCATATGGTCTGTTGCCATTGCCAGTGGCGACCTTCTGGCTCAGAGCTGGTGTAGCCACCAGCGCAGTTTCACCGGATTCTCAGCCGCGTTTTGCGGAGTCCACCGATAACTTGTCTTCGCCCTGCGAGGGTTTCCCACCCAAAATGGCAAACCTTGGGGATATGAAACGATGGTTGATGGTTGATGGTTGGTTGATGCTTCTGTAATACCCTCTGGTAATTTAACATAGCTATTGAAAATGACCATTTATAGTGGATTTTCCCATTAAAAATTGTGATTTTCCATAGTTATGTTAGTTTACCAGAGGGTACATGTTCTTAGCATATGGGGAAATCATGGCGATATCATGAGGATTTTTTGCAGGATAGCAGGATATATAGAAGCCAAGGGAAACCTTGGCTTGGTTGTTGAGTGAATCTTTAGAACCAGGGACATTTTGCTGACCAGTCATTTTTCAAAGAGTGCAGGGTATCACTGACCTTACAATAGATATATGGTTCGTCGGGGGAATCATCACGAAATTACCCTAGTTCAATCTATATATTTCAGTATTGTGACTTATCATGATTCTGCTTGAGATATTGATAAATATGTTTATGATAAGTCACTGGATGATATATCTGGATGATATGTCTGGATGATGTATCTGGATGATATATCTGGATGATATAGCTGCACTAGTTTGATAATATAATTACATTATATATTACATTTATATTTATCATTGTTTATCTATGTTATAGGCTACTGGTTATGAGCTCAGATCCATTGAAGCTGCAGATTGCATCAGATTGCCCCACTTACTGACCTCATTTCCCGGATGTTGGGTATCAAACATCTGACCCATGGTACAATCATTACCAACCTGGAGATACTGATTCGGCCAGTCATTCAGCTGTTTTGTTTCCAAAGGATGATAAAGGATGAAGATCAATCAGGCACGGTGGTCTCAAGGCAAGCACCCTGGCGCCATCACCAGAGCCAGCTTCATATTGCGAATGCTATTATACTATCCATTACCCATAGGATCCATGTATGGTATATATGCTAACATTTGGGGTATATTGATGATAAATGTCACCATATATAGCATACATGGATCCTATGGGTTACTGTACAGGTTGACTCAGAATGGTATATAGTTTCACATGTTAACTGTCCATCCTACCCAGGATGACAATCTGACAATCCCACACGATAGATTTACATATATATATATATATACATATATGTAATTCTATATATATATACATATATGTAATTCTATATATATATATATGTATTATACATTATCAGACACCCCTTCCGGACTTTGCCCTAGCGTTTTTTTGGCGCGAGTCATGGAAACCAGGCCGGCAGGCGTTCGGGACTTTGCTGAACTTCGGCTCCTCTGAATGTTGTCGTTGAAGGTTGGCCAAAGGCCACGTTGAAACCTGGGGTGGAAATCAGTGTCGAGTCATGGATTTTTGATCACCTGCAGACTGGAATTTAGCCATTAAAATTGCCACCGGAACCTAGCACGGTGATAGACTCAGTCATAGATGATATTTGGGGATGGGTCAAAACCTATAGTATTACCATGTTTTGGGGGAATAAACATCCATAAACCAACTTAGGGTACCATCCGGGTACCAGGGTTTTGACTCATAGCCATTTAACAGGGGAAGGGCAACCTTCCCAACACCTTCCCAATGGGGTTGCTGAACTATCATGCATCGTCAGCAGACTTCAGCCAGATTCATGAAACCGACATGGTAAAATAAGACCCCCATGTTTGGCAGCTGAACCCTCAATTTGCAGTAGCAAAACTACACATTTCGGGAGTTGAACTAGATTTGAGTGGTAAGCCACAACTGTTGGATGATTCTGAACCCCTCTGCTGCATCTGCATTTCGCCCTGCGGGCTGGGCCGCTTAAAGTGGCTTCATCAGCCGGAACTTGGATGGGCCCCAATCCCTGAGATGGGGTTAGTTTATGCAAGTTGCTGGGTTTCCAGAGGCAGCCCATCCAGCAAAAGGGTTTGAGTGAAGCCATTTTGAAGCCCCAAAGGAGTTGATGGTGGATTATGGTTGAGTTTCGGATTATGGTTGAGTTTTGTTGGTATATGATGATGTTTAACAGTTTAGCTGACGAACGATTTTTCAATGGGGGCGACCAAGTCCGACCAGTTTGTTGGTCCATTGGTATTCCCTGGAATCTCTAGAAACGACACCTTGGATGACTGGATGACTGCGCAATAAATAGGGGTCCTCTCAATGGGGTTTCCATTGGGGGTACCGGGTACTATGGATGGTTCCTGGAAATCCCAATCGAAAATGGATGATTTGGGGGTTAAACGGTCAGGAAACTCGGGTAGGGCCCATCATTGCTGTGCGTTGAGGAACCAGAGTGTAGTCCGACTTCTTGTGTTGACTGCTGATTATGTCGTGCCATGTCGTGCCATGTCTGATAGACTCAGATGGAGAAAGTGCACCTCAATGCCTTCACTGACTATGTGGCCATGAAGCTCTATGACTCAAAATCATGCACCCCAACACAAATGCATGGCTTATCATGGCTTACTATTTTCAACAAGTCAGCCGTTTGTGGCTTCCAGTTGCACCATAGTTGCACCCACTCATTAGCCATATTTGCCATGATCAAAAACTGAGTTAAACAGCCATATTGGGGGATGGTCATCAATCCAACCATAGGGATTTATATACTATATAATTTATATACCCTCTGGTTATTTAACATAGCCATGGAAAATGGCCCATTTATAGATGGTTTACCTATTAAAAATGATGATTTTCCATGGCTATGTCAAATAACCAGATGGTATATACTATATAATTTATATAATTTATATAATTTATATAATTTATATACTTGCCAATTATAGGGAATCTCTAGTAAATTCATCTAAATTAATTGTGGGATGACCATTGCCCATATACATCAATATATATATATAACATATATATATAACCATGTTTTTGTGATTGACACATATTAGACGTATTTTTGTCGATATCTTCAGCGATATCTGAAGCGACTTGATTCTGTTCAACCCGGACTGAGGATGGCTGGGGATAGAACGGCTGCGGCAAAAAACTTGATGAGAGAACCTGGAAAGTGATATACCTGGTTGATGGTTTGGAACATGGCATTTATTGTTCCATATATTGGGAATAATGATCCCAACTGAGTAATATTTTTCAGAGGGGTTGAAACCACCAACCAGATACATGTTCCATATGTTTCCATCATTTTCCCCTAAAGCAAACCAGTGACAGAACTCGCTTGCAAGACACTACTGAGTCGAAGCTGTTGAAGCTGGTCTGAGAGGGTTATTCATGGCGTTTATTTGGAGCTATGTTTGATACAGACCCTGAAACTGGTGAAATCTGGTGAATGTTGGTGAATGTATTCCATATAGTGAATTTGTTCCACATGGAATGTTTCATGAAACAGCGTTGCCCCAAAGAGCAGGCCCAAAAGAGTGTGACGAATGATGAAGCAGGAGACTCATGACACCATCATCCGAATCATCCGGGTGCCCCAATATCCAATGGTTGATCTGTGTTTTGCCAGAATGGCAATTTTTCTACACCCAAATGGGTATGGATCAATACCTATTAATACCATTTTTAGGGGAACGAACATCCATTTACCACCTATTTTGATGTTCACCAGGGGTACAAGGTTTTGACACACTGCCAAATATCATATTGCTGGTTGTCCCATCAACCTGTGGTTGTTATCCCCACAATGCTTGGTTTGATGGGTGACCCTTTCTGGAGGCTTCAGTTTCTTCGCCCTGACACTGTTAGCTCCAACATCGCAGGGTGCTTAGGCGCAAGGTCCATGTCTTTTGTGAGCCAGTATTCGTACACTTTAGACATGTGTAGACACCGGACATGTAAGTGATACACAGATGGATGGATGGAAGAAAGGATGGATAGATCGATTCAACTATAGATAGATGGATAGATGGAACTATAGATAGATCGATAGATATCGACAGATGGACAGATAGACATATGGATACATATCGATACATGGATGGTTTTTCAGGATAGATGCATGGATGGATAGATAGAACTCTAGATAGATGGATAGATAGATAATGTGTATATATATATTTATACATCATATATATATATGTATATATACATAATAAAGTGATATAAGGATAGGATGGATGGATGTCGTCACTGAGGTCATCAGCGCCACTGAGGAGAGCAAATGCGCGCTAGCTAGCTAGCTGCACGGAACATGAGGAGTGACTAGGACAATAAATATGTATAGTGTGTATATATATATGATACATGATTATAGATAGATACATTATAGTATATTATATAGTTTATATTTATATGTATAGATACATTATATGATATATATATGACATGTCAACGTATGTAATGTATAGTATGTAATGTATAAAATCAATAATATACGTATGTAGTATGTAGTGTATGATGTATACATGAATTATGCAAACATATGGATATTTGTTTCCGTAGATAAGGTCGTCTATCTGTTTCTTTCCGTTTCAAGGCTCCAAGCGTCTCATCACGAGGTTTTGGTAACGGATGGACAGTGAACATTAGCAATATGTCATTTTGGGCAACTCAACCTTTGCACCAAAAAAACACTGGTAATTATAACATTAATAACATGGCAATGGAAAATTAGAATGTGTGATAGTATGACGTATGATAGTTATATCAGAGAAAATTATCAATATGATCACTGATATACTGGGATATTCAATCAATATCAATATCACTATCCCCTGTTATATTGGAAGTCATCAACAATACCCTCTTGTAAACTAAGATAGCTATTGAAAATGAGCATAGAAATAATAGAAATAGTTGATTTACCCATTAAAAATGCTGGTTTTCCGTGGCTATGTAAACGTTTACCAGAGGGTATCATCCTGGGAAATATCAATGGGCAAGTCCCAGGATCAATGGGCCTGGGCGCTCTGGCTCTGGTCCAGATGTGGCAACACAAGGACCATAAGGACCCCGGGGGGATTCACGGTACCGAACATGGCCAATTTTCTTCGATGATTTGGCTATTAAACATGTATTTAATGGGAAAATCCACTATAAATGGTCATTTTCAATAGCTATGTCAAATTACCAGATGGTATTTCAACATTAAACATGATGATGTTCCATAAAACGATCTGAATTTTCCAGAGTGTGACAACTGTTCAACTGTTCAACCAACAAAGGCATACAACCCAGGGAGCTAAAGCAACAACGGGTGTACGCCATGCTTTTTTGGTCAGCGGCTTATCCGGATGGTCCGATTGTTTCACCAAGCAAACGTGGGTGAAGAACAAGCGAACAACCCATGGCTGGAGAGAGAAACAATGCCACAGATCAGATGGTTTCATACTACCCTCTGGTAATTTAACGTCGCTATTGAAAATGGCCATTGAAATAGTGGATTTTCCCATTAAAGATGGTGATTTTCCATAGTTATGTTAGTTTACCAGAGGGTAAAACTTATGATGGCCACTTTGCCACAACTGATGGCCCACTTACTTCCATTTTTTATGTGTGTTTTTGTTCCATTTCAATTATCCTTTTTTAGTCTAAAACCATAAGAACGGTCAGACCCTTAGGAAACCCTTCAGACCCTTCAGACCCTTCAGACCCTTCAGGCTCTTAAATCCATCCAAAAATCCTGGCGACACAGAAGTAGGAAGTGGCTGCTTGGGATACTCCATCGTGTGAGTTCATTGGACAACCATCTGGATTTCAGGTCGATTGAATTCAATTTCTGATCATTGAAAAATGGTGGACAGTGGAAATTTATGAGAGTTTACACCAGCAACCAGTGCTTCATATGGGTGAAAAATCAGGGTCTGCTATTTTGTATGTTTAAATGTCAGTGTTTTGTGTGTGTGTGTTTTCATCAACACATCATGATATACCCTCTGGTAATTTAACGTAGCTATTGAAAATGACCATTTATAGTGGATATACCCATTAAAAATGGTGATTTTCCATAGTTATGTGACAGTTTACCAGAGGGTAAATAGTCTTTACAGATGCGTGTTTACCCATGGTGCCACCTGCACCGCACCTTTGGGATCCTTTGGGAATGGGGTCAATGCACGGTTGCTGCGTTCGCGGGGGCAGGGCGTAAAGAAAAAACAAAGGTGACACAGTTGAAAACATGGAATTAACATGGAATTAACTCCAAAAATACGTTACTAACGATTTTTCAACCTTGTTTCAACAAAAAACAAAGCACCTTAAGTTTTAACATGTGAAATATGCCCAGAAATCTCAAATTGGATCTTATCTCAATGATTGACCAGAAATTACATGACTGCATGACTTGAGACTTGAGACTTGATTTCCAGAACTCTGCTCATACAGAAACAGTACACGCACAAAAAGTGAAGAGTTAGTATATAACACTTGCACGTGTATGTTTTCACGTGCAGAAGTAACTAGCCCCAGAAAGAAAACTAACAACAGGATCTTATCCAAAAAAAATGGGTATGGATCAATACCTATTAATACCATTTTTAGTGGGATGAACATCCATAAATCCCAGCTATTTTGATGTGAACTACAGGGGTACCAGGTTTTGACACACTGCCATTTGATGATATTTAATAAACATCTAGTAATAATTCACCTGACAGTTGGAATAAAAATGACCTGAAAAGTAGAATTTCAAATGATATTCACCTTGGGATTTGCAAATGCAAAAACTTGAGACCTGGTTTCCATGATATGCACGCCTCGAAGGACCCTCAATGCGGCCTCAAAGTCTTGTGAGGTTGGGCTGGAATGCGAGGGCTGGTTGGTTTTACCATTCTCACATGGGGACCTTCTATTGGAATATATGATATATATATATATTATATATATATATATGATATATATTATATATATATGATATATATTATATATATGATATAATGGGTCAACCAATATCAAACCACATGATGGGTATGTGACCAATATGGTATAATTTGATTACTCATTTTTCGTATGTAACCAATATGTAACCATCACATCGGATGCCTCGGAGGATTTCTGCATGCTCGCTGCCTTGGTTCAGAACAATTTCATGCTGTCTAAAAAAGACACATGGACTGATAATCCCAATCCATGTTCTCATTTGAACACATGGGGCTGTTGGGTTTCAAAGCAGCAGTAAGCTGATCCCCAAGCTGACAATAAATCACGTCGACATGTGCCATGATCAAACCGTTCGGATTCCCATGAAATGGGAGGGGATGACCATCAACCACAATGTTTTTTTACCCAAACGCACACACGGCTCATTCGATTGGTTTAAGGTGAAGATGTTCTGGCAGAAACGAATCCATGAAGAATGTCAGTTTGGTTGGTTAAATCCCTAAACCCCATTAAACTACCTTCTATGCACCCTGCATAGCGTCCATTAGAACCAATTAAAACATATTAAAACCAAGGATATATTTCTTTCAATGGATTGGTTTAAGAGAAAATCTGCAGGAAACCATAGATTTTCCCATTAAATATGGGGCTTTCCTGTAAATTTTCCCTTAAACCAATCCATTGATTCTTGGGTAATCCCTTAAAAATCCCCATTGAACCATTCCCAAACTTCGAAAGGGTCAACCATCCACTTCGAGGCCCGGACGTGGCACTTGCACCTGGACGTTTTGGGTGCAGCCCAACAGGCGCAGAACTTGGGGGATAGCTGGGATATAGTGGGAGTGGAAGAAATCCTGCACCACCTGGGATGGTAGAAAGATGTAGAAAGCCTATAAATAATATTAAATAATGGGATCACAGTAGTGGGGATACATTTGGGATGTTTTTTGAGTGGGATAATGATGTGTGACAGTAACCACCAATAATCCAATCGACAGATTGATTTCAGTGAAGAAGTCAATGGGGTAATCCATGGGTAATCCACGGTTTGATTTAAGGGAAACTTTCCAGAACACTGACAAGTGTTTACCCACACATATATGATCCCGGACTATATTATACGATATTATACGTATATAATCGTATATATCTATATATACTTTGGGATTTCCTGTAAGATAACCCTCAACCAATTTCAGGATCTGAGTGTATTTGTGAATGTGCGTATAGATGGGAATGAGTAAAGAATCGACAACTGGGATTGGTGGTCCAGGATGGTCTAGGTTGAAACCATTTTTTGGGCCCTGAAAATCACTGATGTTGGTCCTTTCAAACTTACGCAATCTAAAAAAAAAATATATATGCATTTGGCGTTTACCAAAAACCACGTCTTGTGGGGCCTGCGCGGAGATGAAGTCTTCGCATGAAGCCATGTGGGATCATTTTAATGATTTTAATGACATATTTCCGCCATCTACCAATGTGGGGCCCCCCAGTTATAAGTTGGTTTATAAACCCCATTAACTATAGTTATAAGTACCAGAAATCATAGTTATTGGAGTTATAAACCAACTTAGCTATCTTGGGGGCCCCACATTGTACCAATGTGCTTCTAAGCACTTGATCGATAGCAGAACTGGCAGGTGTCAATTCGACCAGATCTTGCATCCCGGCTGCAGACAGATGGCACCTAATGACTTGACTACTTGATGGTTCGGTTCACTAGTGAACCAAATGGTGATACCCTCTGGTAAACGTTTACATAACTATGGAAAATCACCATGTTCAATGGAAAAATCCACTATAAATGGCCATTTTCAATAGCTATGTAACACATTACCAAATGGTGATAGTTCATCATAGTTGTAGGCCCCATCTCCCAACTTATGGGGGTTAGAATCCCATACGGCCCATCGTCCGTCACAGGTCACCCTCAACACTTCTGCTGCAGGGGTCATCAAGGTCGCTCCTGGGGGGCGAGCTGCTTGGGTAGTTGGTTATGAGGAAATGATGTGTAGTAAGGGTAACACCCCTCAACATGACCTTGTTTCACGTTGCTGGATTATTGTAATCTACTAGGCTTGTGACGGTGTGATTGATTTTGGCTGACAGATTGCTGGCTTCGATGCTGAACGACAAAAACGTCGTTGCAGTTGGGCTCCAGCAGACCGCAGATTTCGATTTCGCGGTGTGTTTTTTTTAGCAATGGCCATGGAGGAAGGGAGCTTCATTTATGGAACCACCATCAACGAGCAAGAGGCACAGCATGGCACAGCCCTAGGGCTGGAAAACTGAGGGTTTTGCCATGTTGAATGCCGGTTTTAATGACTTTTGGATGACGGATAGCATCCATGTTGCACATCTTATATAAGTAACGTGTTTTTTTTCACATGTATACAGCATGTATGCACATATTATATGTCATGATATGATCATATATAATTATATATATATTTATACTTACACATACTTTACATTGTAGACCAGTTGCCCATTTAAACATCAAACAATACATAGGTTCGCCTCAGCGCCTCAGCATCCCATGTCATGCGGGAAGGTGGTCCGTGAGTTCCGCGAGTTCATTGTGAAGTTCGTGCAGAACAAGGAGGAAGAGACTGAGGCACGGGTCACCACAGGTCCAGTAGGTACAACAATGTAACAAGGTGGTCCCCGTTTGATTGTTTTTGTTGGTTTAAGTTGGTTCACAAAAGCCATTGACTAGAAAGATACATCATGATACATCCACCACAAGCCCTACTTATTGGAACATATTGGAACTATGAACAAACTTTGCTAGCTATTATGCTGCACCACATTCTTTTGCCATTTGTGGTACTTCTCATCAAGGGTTCTGATTGGTAGCAAAGGCATCCTGCTAGCAGGTTACGCCATCCAATACTCGCCCTTTGTTTTTGGCCGCTTAGTATATCTAAATGTTGTATAGCATTGTTACAGAGATTAATTGTGGCAAAAGATCAATGCACTAAACAAAAACAATCAAAACTGTATCCATCCATCTAAGCTGTATCCAGTTTGTCTCAACCGTCTTTTTGGTCGAATATTCATTTTGGGTTGATCAATTGCCTTTTGTGTGATGTAAAACATGTTTTTACATGTTTCTTCTACTATTCCATTATCATTCTCTACTTACAGCAAAGGCTGCAACAGTTCCAAAAAAAGAATTGAGCAATTTGTATCTGTCGTTTTCTTAACATTCTTAATAGACACAGAGTATGCATAAGCAATGGCTATATAAGCAATGTAGAATGTATATTGAGAATAAGCACAGAATCTTACCCATAATTCATCCATATTCAATGACAACGTCAAGTTATTTTCTCTGACGCAGGCCACATATCTTCGTCAGCTACGAAAAACTTGGGAGCTTCAAGAGGAGCGGATTGGGCCGGTGTTGATTGATGATTACCGGGGACCCCATTTGGTGATATAGTGGGGAGACAACACAACGAGGAATATGTCATGGATGTATAAGCATCACCAACAAGGATACACTAGACATCACTAGACCCTGTTTAATTTGATCTCTATCTCTATGTTCAATAATTTGAACTTTGCGCTTATAATTGAACAAATCTGATTCCAAGAGCGCGGCTTGAAGTGGGAAAGTTGATTTTAGCCAGAAAAAACATATAAAAAATAAACAAAAAACAAACCAACAGGAAAGAACCAGCAGGAAACTCGTCTATATATACATATATAACTGCATGTTTCATGTTTGATTTTGGCCCGCAGGACAAGACCAGGGGCATCAAGTTCCCCGTGCAAGGTTCGGTCTCCAAAGTTGTCAACTGTTTCCGCAGATGTGTTCTTCAGATGATTGGCTGACATGTTTTTTTTGCACATACAGAACAATTTTAATGGGACGATATCGATTTTAAACCATGGGAAATCATATATGATTTTATAGAATGACAAGTCACACACTACCACATGTAGCAAAATAATTTTCCGGGATTTTTTATCTTTGCCTACGTGGAATGACGACCTGAACAGGCGCGCATGTTCATCAGTTTTCTACCACGCTCTATGATCACTTGGTGAGCTACCCAACAGAGGCCAGAGAGGGTGCGCTGAACACAATCTTGCATACCATATGTAAGCATATATATATATAATATATATATATATACATAGCAATATATATATATATATACATACCAATATATATATATGCATATATATATATGCATATATATATATATGCATATATATATATATACATTATGGTATATCCATTTGCAGAACGGTTCTCGGTTGAAGTTGCTGGTTGTTTTGAACTGATCTCCTCAATTGATTGGTGTCCTACCAGGAATATCTGATCTCAACTGACCCAAACAGTTGTGTTGTTGCAGATTGTGTAGATCATGCGGAAACAAACGTAAACTCGTCAGCACAAAAGCAAAAAAAAAGAGTAAACCACATGGGGGATATGGTTTGTCTGATGGCCATGAAAACGGTGAGAATGAGGCTTGAAGCTTTGAAACCATAGAAATTATAGGAATTCCAGTTGCGAGTCGCTCCAGATTCACTCCCAGGTGGTGCCCATTTTCGACCGAGAACTCTGGCGACTCGGCTTGTCACCGATGCTTTGGGAGATGGCCGTGACTTTGTAGTAGTTACCCTCTGGCTATGACTAACATAGCTATGGAAAATGGCCATTTATAGTGAGTTTTCCCATTAAAAATGGTGATTTTCCATAGTTATGTTAGTTTACCAGAGAGTACCAATCTTGGATGTTGTGTTGGCTGGTTTTACAGATGATGTTCCACACTGATGATTCATGGCTGAACCAGCCAGCTGACTTGTATACCCGGGTATTGTTAGTGATCTATTTGATGGTCCATAATTGCACATGAGATGTTGTTGTCATAAAGTCCCATAGGATCCATGTATGCTATATATGGTAACATTTACCATCAATATACCCCCAATGTTAGCATATATACCATACATGGATCCTATGGGAGTTGTCATACATTCTTCATTTCCAACCAGTAAATTGAAGCGACATTACAGCGACCTCACCAACCAATGATCGTCACAGGGAATCGTGACGAATCGTGCCATTGGCTCGCACATGGTTGGTGAATTATGACCAGAAATTTACTCCGAAATTTATTGCATTCCTAGATATCATAATTTCATAACAATTTATTGTATTCCTATACATATTTTATCATAATTTATTACATTGGAACATGTTTTTTCATATATTGGGAACAATCATCCCAACTGACTATATTGGGTTGAAAGCACCAACCAGGTATTGTCGTCAAAATTTCATGACATCATCGTCTTCGCTTTTTGAACGTGCCACAGACAGACCGGGTATCCCGGTATCCGGTATCCCAAATTTTCAGACACACCCAAATAGCGCATATTTTGTTGGCATTATATTACCTGTGATATGCATGTATGTTATATATATATATACATATTATGGGGATATATATATATATATATGTGTATGCTGCACGTATGTGTATATATATATGTATATCATATCTTATCATATCTTATCATATCTTATCATATCTTATCATATCTTATCATATCTTATCACATCTCCATAAACTATGCCATTATGGTTGTTTTTTTCCCCATGACTTTGGTATGTAAATCCTGTGGCAATCAAACGTGGCCATGGAACATCCACAATTTTTCAGATGTTTTTCCCATTACCCTCTGGTTATGTCAAAATAGCTATTGAAAATGGCCAGTTATAGTGGATTTTCCCATTAAACATGGTGATTTTCCATAGTTATGTTAAATTACCAGAGGGTAACATGTTCATTCATAGTGGATTTCCCAGCTTACCATATTTGATGACGCCGGAATACGCCGGTGAGTCCCTGCGAAAACAGAGGAAGATTTCCACAGAAGTCCTGGACTGCGAACCTGATGAGCTGGGCAACTGTCAAGCGCAGATCTTCGGCTTGTGTCTTTGGCGGCACGTTTTTAAAAAGATTGGTCAAGGGCTGTGAGTTTTCATGTGGAATGGTTATGTGATGGGTCAATATCAACCATAGAATATATTATGATCTTATGTCTATATATATATATACATATATGTTTGAGTGAATAAGATATGTTTAATGTATTAACACTAAGCTCAAAATCGTCAGACTAGTTTGTTCATGTTTGGGACTGTCACTGGGAGAAAAGGGTTCTGACCCATATCCATGTAGGTTTCTATCAACAGAAGAAACTTGTTGATTGAAACACATTGACTGGAACCCTTTTTTTCCGGACACTTGTTGAAGCACGTACTGTATATATAGTTTGTGATTGCGGTTGTCTTGGAAAGTTCCGGCTTCCATATGTGCCTGCAACTGTTCTGAAGAACAGGTTTGTCAAAAAAAAAACAGTCAAACCATCCTGAACTTGTCCTTCCCATCAGTGTAGCACTGCCGACCATGCTGGCTTTTGAGGCTTGACAAGGATACAAGGGTGATGAGATGTATGCCGCTCGATTGCAGAACTTTCAGTGGGCACACTAACATCTCCATGTCGGGCACAGCCTCCTGTGAAGGCACTACATGTTGCATGAAAATCAGCGTTGAAAAACCGCATCAAGTATCGGGTTTGTGTGTGTACTCTCTCAGCAACCCAGAATCTTTGGATTAATTCAATTGGTCTTAAGTGTCTAACCCTGAATTCACCAGTGAGCGATCAGCCACTGGCCAGGAACCCCACAGATATCGAACGTTTGATCACGGTGAAGGGCATCGTGATCCGATGTTCGGACTTGACCCCAGCCGCTTGAACGAAAAAACAACAAGTTTTTCGGGAAGGGAAGAGCCACCAGTACTGCTGGTTTACCCTTCTGTCTCCTCATGGCTGGGACATTCCCGAACAAATGGAGGTTTTTTTCGCTGGGAACATTATCGAACTGGGCGATTTTCCAGCAAACCATGTTTGATTGCCGAACGTTATTTCCCATGCCATGTGGCCCGGCTGGTATATTTGGGCGATTGCTTTTTGAATGGAAAAAGATGGTTTGGATCTTGTATGCTAGTGTGGTGGTCCACGGCACTTTTGTCGCTGACTTAGTGATCACACCTTCCCAGTCTTTGAGTATGGGAGAATGTACAGGATCCCCCTTATATACAATTATAATACACAATAATACACACATTTCCAGAAAAGTCCCAAGGTCAAAATACACCATGTTTTTTGGGTAGATTTCCCTTTAATCAATCTATTGAGCAATCAGAACGTGACTCAATGCCGCGCCGTGGAAGAAAAGATCCATCTCCCGATCCATCTCCAAGGACATGAATGCTGCAGTCTTCAGATGCACCACGGAAGACTGCAAACATGAGGTGCATCTGATGCTCAGCCTTGCGGCGATGTGAATCCTTGGACTCAACGACGTATGCAACGGACCTCAACGGTATCAAGTCCTCAAGTCCTCGTGAATGTTGATCTAGGATTTTGCTGAAGCCTGACTTTAGTTTATGTAGGATGGTACCATTGTTCTTAAATACTCATTATATATAATCTAATGATAGTTTATATCACTAACTTGGGGGTAAGCCCACCTTTTTTCATAGTGAGGCTTAGTCGTCTCATCCTTGGTTGACATCAACGGATCATCGTTGCGTAGGTGAAGGTGATGCTGACCCATTGGACCATCGATGAACCAACCAAGTGTGAGTTGTGCGGAGCAAGTGCCCTGGCGCAATGGGGCAAGTTAAGGCTGATTCGAAAATCTCCTAAAGGTGCTTTCGAACACCTTTTGTCCATCCAATCTGGGATGATGATACTGTAGTGTGTAATGGCTTGATATTTTTTTGTATGAATTGAATTGAATTGAATTGAAACATGTTGAAACCAGCAACTACTTACAGTATAATTAGTTTTAGATATGCATCCATCCACTTTTTGGGTACTCAGTGTTGACCCATGACACTTCCAATGCACCAGGTAGTTTGTGCGGTGAAATTTGGGGTTGCCAAACAGCTTTTCATAGGGAGGCGCTGTTTAACCCTGCTTCCCCTGGTAGGTTATATTGGTTTGAGGGCATGAGCAGCTGTTCACCTGTGATTTTGGTGTTCACCAGAATATCGGGGGTTTTGAGCCATTGTCGCATGTTTCTTACTATCACATAGTGGGGCCTCCGGCAAATGCTCCAAGCAGTTCGGAAACGCTGCTGATGGACACCTTTGAGGCCGATGATAGCTGATGACCGACGACCCTCCCACACTGGGGATGTGCATCCATTGCTGGTCAGTTCAGATATTTTGATCGTCCCTCTCTACTTGGGCTCCCAAATTTCCAGAGAGTTTTCGTGGGAATGCCCCCCAGCCACACATTTGCAGTACGGGGAAACCATGCTCTGCTTGGGATAGTTCATCACGGAAATTCATCCCAATTTGGCCCCAAGGCCCTTTTCCAACACTCGTTGTCGTTGCCACAAGGCCACTCCTTCCAGATCATTCACAATGACTGTAAGTTCACGGATCGACAAGTCCTAAAGCTACAGGAGCGGGCAGTCGTGTCGTCATCCCAATGTGATATTTGAAGCATCAGTAGGTGATGGAAATTTCCATGGAAAATGTAGGGCCTGGAACCATTTAAATATGAGGATATAGTTGATATATCCCATAGGATCCATGTATGCTATATATGGTAACATTTACCATCAATATACCCCAAATGTTAGCATATATACCATACATGGATCCTATGGGTATGATGGTTGATTGGTTATCGGGAGTTGTACTACCAATGATTATTGGGATTTATTGGGGATTAGGATAGCTGTAACCCAGATTAGGGAAACCGTTTTAAACTAACTAGTGTAATGAAATGGAATAGGAGATGATAGGAGTATTTTTTGAGGCTCATTTGGAATCCCACCATGTTGGTCACTATGACTTCCCGGAATTCCCTGTTGATGGCCTCAAAAGGACCATGTCAGCAATAGCATCAGTGGATGGTTGACAGTTGATGCTTAAAAATCAAACCTTCAAACTCCATAGCAACAAGAATGTCCACGCTGATCAAGCATCAAGTTATGCGAGGCTTGGGCTCGCCCAACCATTTTTTTTCAGCTGACCCAAAGGATAACACGGGATGACGATGGCGAGATACAGCTTCCAAGGTGTCATGTTGTTCTCCAGAGAACAAAGGAAGTGCACCTCCATGCTGGCAGCTAGAAGGCTTCAATGATTTTCAGAAGGACTTCCATAGGCTTTGTTGTGAGCCAGTTCATCCAGAGGTGGAATTGACTCTGACAACTGCTTTGGCATTCGATGGAGCTCCCTTTGGCAGCAAAGGATATACTACTTCAAGCTGCGTCATCCTCGATATAGCTTCGTTGGAAACAGGCATCAGCTTCGAAGGGTCCTTGGTGCTCTGGCGCTGACGGATCCCCACTTGGACTACCATAAGGACCTGGCTGTTCTAGCCGCTACACTCCTTGCAGTGACCAACTGTGAGGCAAGTGCCTACGCTGTACGAGCCGTCATCCACAAAAAGTTCTCCTTCAAGCGGCTGTTGTTCCCCACGCTGGATCAAAATTAACGTCTGATCACCAGGGCAGCCAGGGCCAGGCTGCAATGATCATTTCTAGCTACCAACGGTTCTGTCCGGTGACCTACGAAGCTGTGCGCAGCGCCAGACTGGGAAAAAGACTGCTGGAGATTGTAGCTCAATGGTTGCGCAGTTTCTTTTGTGCAGGCTTTGATCCAAAGTGTCAGAGTTTGCAGTCATTGAGCAACTTCTGGATGCGGTACTGCAGGGTGCATCAGAGTGACCTGTACCGATTGCTGGTGGCATCCAACACCAAAACACTGGCAGAATTGGAAAGCCTTGCATCCATCAAGGTGCGAAAGGAGTTTTTCCTGCAGATGAATTCCAGATGTCGCTATGGTCCACAGATGATATGGTGGCATTTCCTGTGAGTTTAAAACGGCAGGGTGGTGTTGCATGTTGGAAATGGACACCTTGATTGCTGGGAGTTCCCTTGTCATCCCCGCTGCTTGCGCATCGGGCTGATGGCTGGCTACATGGACGGCTTCAAGTCTCTCATCAACTCCAAAAGACATGACCTGCGACTCTATCTAGTGGGATGTCGACGAGGAACCCCCAAGTGATGAGAAGGTGGTGTCAGATCTCAATCCATCTGCTGTGCTTGACGATGATGAACCTGAATCGGAATCGGACTTTTGCTTCGCAGGTGATGATTCCCCGATCAGCAACGAGCCAGACAACGGGCCGAAGTGAATGCTGAAAATGGAAGTGTCCCAAATTTGGGCAGTCAACCTACAGGAAGGGGAGACAATGGGCCAAAGTTTGGGCTGTCCCCAGAATGAAACAATTGGGAGCCAAGGTGAAGTTGTGCCTGAGCCAGGATGGTTGAGTACCCTCTGGTAAACTAACATAGCTATTGAACATGGCCATTTATAGTTGATTTACCCACTAAAAAAAATGATTTTCCATTGTTATGTTAGTTTACCAGAGGGTACCCAAAAAAATCAAGACCCCCTCAATCCACCTCATTTATCAGGTTTCCACATACCAAGCCGGGGAGGTTTCGTCTGGCCCTTTTTTTGGCCGCAAAGTTCGGCGCCGGTCCTATGAATCTGCCAAATTTATTGAGATATACCGTGGGCCCATGGGTTAAAATAGAATGATCATAGATGGATAGATTAAAAGTCAACCTGACAACTCACTTTGAGATGGTTAGTAAAGGTTAGTCTCAAAATGACCAAAATTCTCAGTGAATAGATGCCGATGGCCCTGTGATTTCCCAAAAAGTGCCGATGGCCAGCAGGAAACTCCTGAGTTGGTCCCTGACGGCGAAACTCCGCAGAACGTGGCCATTGTTGTTTTTGATGACCTCGTGAACCAGGCAAGTGGCTGGGTGGAAGGACAATGAACCCATCACCCTGTGGATTTGTGGTCCCAAGGCTTCAGTTGAATGGAGAAGCCAACAAGAAAATGTATATACTAATAATTTACTAATAATTATATATATATTTATATATATATACTTGTATATATAGTTATATATATATAGTTATATATAGTTATATACACAGTTATATATATATAGCTATATATATATAGTTATATATATAGTTATATATATAATTATATATATATATAGTTATATATATAATTATATATATAGTTATATATATAGTTACATATATATATATATGTAGTTATATATATAGTTATGTATACATATATAGTTATATATATATAACTATATATATACTGTAGTTATATATAAATAGTTATATACTGTATATAGGTATAGATATATGATTTATTTGACTACATATGATTGATGTCAACTTGATTTTCATTGTTTCTTCATTGCAATTCGAAAAATCAGCGAGATGAGATGGTGACAGCAAATCAAGGAATGCTATGTGGCATGTAAATAGAGACATCAGATACACAGACATATCAGATTGTTGGTTATATTCATCCCATTCTATCCCGTTACATTTCCGTTAACTCCCCATTATAAATATTGTTTCCCCCATGAATCCCCATCAGATCACCATTTATAGATGAGTTTCCATGAATTTCCCAAAATTCCTGAGTTTTATCATTATATAAATTTATAAATGTCATTAAATCCCATGACATCCCCAGTAAATACCATGAACATCTCCATAGATCATGTCCGGTTCAACAGGTGCGTCCTGGCGACAGGGTGCAGGTCACTGGGATCTATCGAGCGGCTCCAGCAACTTGGTGCGTTCGTTTTTTTTTCAAACTGTTGGATGCTACGCTCAACTGGGGATGGGTCAAAACCAATAGTACCCCTGTAGTTCACATCAAAATAGCTGGGATTTATGGATGTGAATAACCCACTAAAAATGGTATCTATAGGTATTGACCCATACCCAACTTGTTCTTAAGGTCACAGTATGTTGTGACCCTGCTGAAAGAAATGGTTGTTCAGTTGTGGCGAAGAAACAACAGTGTGGATGAACAAATCACACCTAAAAAGATGTGTACAGAACTAGGAAAAATCTGCGAGTGGTGGCCATGAAAAAAAAACGTGCCAAGAAGGCTGCAAACAGCATGAAATTTCAGGTTGAGTGTGTCCACTGATAGTCCCCACGGGACGGCGTGACTTAGATGAGTAGGACTTAATCCGTCCGTTTTTCGGCCACTGACCATAATAACCGTTTTTGACGGTCAAACATTGACGCTCCAAACACCATCTCAGAAGGTGTTTGAACTCCAAAAACCAGCCCCAGCAAGTACAGTCTGAGAAACCATATATCGTTGGTCGGCCTTGAGGTTCAGAGAATCAGAAACTGGCGCATGTGCAGTTCTGTCTACAGGAGCTTGGCCAAAGGCGACCAAAATCTGTTGGCGTATACAAGCAACTGCCTCAAACTCCCGAAAGTGATGTTGAAAAAGGTAGAAGGGAAAGAGGCCATGTGCGGAACCATGCGGAAACCTACAGATGATTTTGAATGCAAGTGTCTGGAAGTCAAAACCAGAACTACGATGCACCAAACTAACTTTGTGCTTTCGGCCCATCCTTCAAGTTCCCACACATTCTCCAGTCTATTCGCATTTATATAAACACATTTTGCCACTTTACGCAGATAATATCGTAATTATTACATGGTATGATATGTCCGGATTAAACCATCAACCCCAATCAAAAATCACCCTAAAATCACCATGAAATCACTATTGACCCACCACAACAGCCTGTCCGTTGCGTAGGACATATGTGGATGCCATCGCACTGGAGTATGCCAAGCGTGCAGAAGCCACTGGAGCCTGCGGGGGTTTGGTGCTTTCCAGTCATGGGGGTAAACCCTGCGATAATCAAACCGAAAATCCTAGACTTTTTGGGAAAATATGATATGGTAAAAACATGTCTGTAAAAACATGTATAGGTTATTATAGATTGGTGATTTTCCATTGCTATGGTTGATTGTTTGGTCGGGTTTTACGGGGATGTCATAGGGGTTTGATGGCGGTGTAATGTTTTGGTTTCATCGCTGTGAAATGGGAATGTATGGTGATGGGGATGTATTTTTGTATGGATGTACTCCCTAGTGATGGGAATGTATGGTGTATTTTTGTTTTTGTAAACTAGGGATGTACTGTGATGGGGAACATCCCTTAGAACGTTTGGTACACGTAGGAATTGGCTTATGAATGCACTGATCACATCTGATCACAATCGTTTGTATACCACGAGGGCAGATAGCCCAGTCTTTTTATATTCACCAGTCACAAATTTCAGGATCACCACAGTGATGGTTGTAGCGACGGAGCTGCTAGGAGTATATTGATGCTTCAATTTGAGTTTTGGGAAGAGGATTCATAAGAGTTACTGAAAATTACTGTAATCATCAGCCTTTCAAGATCTACCTTCATCCACCTTGCAGGAATGTGTATCTCGCTGCATTAAAAAATTGACGGGATATTTGTTTTGCACCTTGAGCCTTCAAACGGCATGTAGTCTACCCTCTGGTAAACTAACATAGCTATGGAAAATCACCACTTTTAATGGGAAAATCCACTATAAATGGCCATTTTCAATAGCTATGTTAAATTACCAGAGGGTACTCTATTTGTTTATGTAGTCTTGCAGGTTTCAAGAAAGTCATTCATACATTTTTATATGTAATCAATGTGGTAAACCTAATAATACACCATCCCAAAATCACCATAAATCTGGGTAAATAATAACGACCTCACTGCGACCTCACTGGAATCATGGTTAATAAGGGAAATCATCCCCAAATGGCCTTAATTCAGGAGGTCCTATGGCCCAAGACCTTCACGTGGTTGGACTGATACATCCCGGGGTGTACAAACATTGGGCCGTGCAATCATTCGCTGATGCCATGGATTTGACTGCTTGGGTAGATCTCATCATTGACAAGGAAATTCAAAGTGCCAGTGGAGCCAACATCCAAAAGACAGTTTTGGGACGACCAAACATTTTGGTAGGTGATGTCACATGTTCCAGGGGACGCATCTTTTCCGCAACAGAATTTGTGCCTCCTGGTTGTGCTGGTGCAGCGATTCTCAACGATTTCCTACAATGGGATGAGTTCAAACCCCTCCAAAGTGTGCAATTGCTTTGGAACATTCAAGGCATGAAGCCAAAGAACCATGATTTTCTCTGGTGTATGAATGCGAGGGCAAGCAATTTTGGAGATGCCTTTGATTATGAAATTGATCATGAAACGACTGTCATTCCAATTCGAAACACAGCTGATGACCATGTTCACATGTTGTCACTTTTCGGTGGGGGTTTTGGTGGATGGACCTATGGCATGAAACATTTGTGTGCCTACCATGGAATCTCAGCACAGATCGTTGCAGTAGAATCCGATTTAATTGCATGTGCAAACTACGCTGCCAATCATGATGTCCCCATCGTCAATGGTTATGCAACTTTGCCATCCAATTTGATGCAACAGATGCCAAAAGGGTGTGTAATCCATGGGAATGTACTCTCAACGACATGGATTGAACCCATTGCAGAGTGGCACCCGCAAATCCTGACTATCAGTGCTCCATGCCAACCCTGGTCAGGGGCAGGTCATGCCAAGGGTCTGCTCTCAGCAGAAGGACTCAGTTTTCCTGAAGCACTGTTCCAAGCAAGGTTGCTGCAGCCGGAAGTAATTGGACTAGAACAAGTCACAGGTTTCAACACCCATGAACAGAGATCCCATGTCATCAAAGTCATTTCCATGATTGGTTATGCTATCAACTGGAGTCGAAGTTTTGATTTCGCAGTGTGTGGGCCCGTCACTCGCAGCAGATGGATTGCATTGCTTCACCGTATCAGTGACATCCCCCCAATTGATCGATGCCCGTCAAGTTTGTCTTGCATGCATGCGAAACATGATCACGATGAGCAATTTGATCAACATGAACCGATTGTAAGTTTTGGGGGGGAGGATATTTCTGTCGACACGATTTTCTCTGGAAGCGACAGACATGCTCAAAGATCACATGAATTTGGTTTAGACAAGAAGCCAAATGAACACAAACATGATTTGTCCAGCAGTGCATGTGTCTCAGGTGCTGAGCTAGATATGCATCCAACCAAATCCGAAGCCTATGCATCCGATGAGCATCCGGCATCCGACCGTCAGACATCTCACCATGTTTCTGTAGGTCACGTGTCCGAAAGCCAGTACTGGTCAAGTCCCACACAAGTCCATGTCCCGCAGCCATTTTTGCAACCGTCAAACCATGCAACCACACAGTCATGCAACCACTTGTATAACATGCCACTGCGAATCAATCCAGGTCACAATGTTCAGCCTGTGTCCATGCAACCTGACCACGCCATGAGTCAGAACCTTTTGCCAAAGAAGACTCGTGACACAAAAGATACCTTCCTGGATACGGCAATGCCTTCGCAGACACATCCGACCTGTACAGATGACAGTATCGCCACCGTGCATTCACCGTCTGTCCAGCCGGCATATGTCACAAACCATGCTTGTCCCGTCATGTCCCAGCGGAGTGTATCCAATATCACAGATGCTCAGGTGCCACAGCCATTTGTGCAACCATGTCCAACCAGCACATTTGCAAACCCCAGTCATATGCCTGACCATGCGACAGAGTTTCAACACATGATCATGTCGGATTTGTTGAACCATGTCCCCAAAGCCGTTTCAAAGGAACACCTGAGGTACCACCATGACAGCCAAAACACACATGATGGAAATTCCATTGGGGATCTTTCTCAGGATAATGACATCAAGCCAAGAATTGATATTTCCCCAAATGTCATGGGCAAAGATTTTCCACCAGGTGATGCTTTGTTCAATCAGATCTCAGACAGTGACACAGACAAAGAATGTCAGCCAAACGCAAACTGCCATTCTCAGGTACCACCGCCAGAGCATGCAGTGAGTGAATTTGACAAAAATGCAGCTGAGCCAAAGTCTGGACCTGGTATCAGCCTTGTCAGGCCAGTTTTCAACATCAAGAAAAGATCATTTTCGCCACAACAGCTTATTGAACATCTCAAGCTGCCACATGAGGACATCGTGAACCACACACCAAAATCATTTCAGGCTCTCCTGCCCTTTGACAAAATCGCAGACCCACAGCTGAAGATTTCCGATGACATGAAGAAAATCGTACAAGATCAGAACTTCCTGCCAGCAGCCAAACGACGGAAGCTTGGAGACAAGACCCCCATGCAAATGAGGACTTATTCCCAAGATCAGAAGCTACCGGTCATCATGGCTGCATATGGTAATCAGCACAAGATCAACCCAGACATTTTGCGTGAAAAAGGATGCCTTGCACATTTCATCCAGGACGAACAATCCGAGCCAAGACTCCTGCATCCATGTGAGATTGCATTATTGCATGGCGTCACCAGCAGGTACCTTGCTCTGAAGCATTTTCAACAAGCCTGGAGATTTTAGGCAATCAAATCACACCATTTCATGCGTTGATGGTTTTGACAGGAGCCTTCAAGATCATGCCCCAGTTTGACATGAATTTTACCATGCAAGAAGTCTTCAGAACATGGGAATCCCAAAGACTCAAAAACACCAATGTCATCATGCGCACAGGCCAGGCAGGATGTGTCATCCGTCACATGATCTATGATGAAGATCTCACAGATGATCAACATGCCAACATTCATCACTTCATCCAAGAGTACGGAAAGAGCATGCTGCCAGACCATCAGTACTGGGACATTGATGGATTTCATTCCATGTGCACCCCAGTTGAAGCGATTCATGACAATCACACAAAGACGATGTCCATGGTCACTGAGATTGATCCAGACTCACCAGAACCAGGCATTTCACCCACATTGTCATTTGCCATCACGCTGAGAGCCATTGTGCATTTGCCCAAAGGGAAGGTGCCTTTCTGGATTGCATCAGACGTCACACCAAGAGATCTGGCGTACCTTTGGTGGACTGCCGGAGAAGTACAGATATCGGAAGGAGAATGCCACATCTTTCCAGGCAAATGCATTGAAAAATATCACGAACACAATTTGGTGGTATTTCTCGCCGATCGCAGATTGACAGTATATGCACACCATGATGACAAGTTCTACGATTTTTGTGCCAGAATCACTGCCTCAGAAAACATCTAAGACCAATTCGGACCTGTCACATGTTCCATGAAGCGTAATCATGACACCATGATCATGGACCAGCCAGTGAAACATGGGCGATGCAATCATGACATGCCAATCCTTCTTGCGGCTTTTCAGAACTGCACTGAGGTGTATGCCTATGATATCAGCACTGACACATGGAGATGCAAGCTCTCTGGTGATCTTACATCCAGACAGATAGTCGCATCCCTCCTTGCCACTGCCATCGACAAAGAATCATTGCAAGGCATGGGACGTTTTGTATCAGTCAAACATGCACAAGATTCTGCAGTGGAGTTTGGAGCAGCAGAAGCAGGGGCATCAGCACCGCCCAATGCGTTTGTCACAGCATTCGTTGTTGCCACTGCCAGAACCATGCTGGACACCTTGCACAGTGCAGATGGTAGAATGATCTCAATCAAATGGAAAGCCAGAACCCTTTGGAGTGGCAAGATTGATGAACATACTACTGCAGAAATCATCGCCACAGTGCTTTTGTATGCACTTGCACCCATGACCAGCTTTCGTGAAGTGCGACTGATTGTTCAAGGAAGACAGTTTTGTTCCGGATCCATCCAGCAATTTGCACAGACAGGTGAAAAGCCAATCAAGATCCACCTTGCTTTCGAGATGTGTGGAGGAGCAGGACCGACAGCCACCAAGTCACAACTCAAGCAACAGGTACGAAACTCAGTTGCCTCATGGATGCTTGAAAACCACATCGAACTATCATGGATCAACACCAATCTGGAAAAGATCATTGAAGACATTGGGGTCAAGCGTTTTGTACCCGTGATTCAACAACCATCCAGCAACAAGCGTGACAGCCAAATGCAGCAGATTCTCCAAGAAGCTGCCATACAATTGCCACAGCCGACGCCCAAAGTTCAACAAGCAGCCAATGCCATGAAAACCAAATTCAGGAAACAACAGCCAAAGATGCCAGAGCCACAGCACTTCAAAGTCGATTGCAATTTCCTGCTCAAAGAGGATGGTCAACCGACACAACAACTGCAAGAGTTCAGATGCAATGCCACAGGGGTCTTTTTGACCAATCCTCAAGGTGCTACACCTTGGCTCAGGGAGAATCAACAGCTTTCATCCGATGAATTGGCCATGCTCGTTCTAGGACCGATGCCAGTGGAAACCACTTTGCCAACGGAATCTGTGGTCATTCCTTGTTTCAACAGCGATACGCAACAGGTACTCCTGCAGGTAACCATGATCCAGTTTGGTGCCAAAAAAGTCACACCTAAGCAGTGGGATCAGACAGCCACCAAGACCAATACCAGCAAGGTATGCTCACTCACGCTGTGGAAACAGGACTGGACAGAAGATGAATGGCATGCTGCAACACATCAAACCACTCAATTTGTCAAGGATGTCTTTGCACATGATGGAGTTCAAGAAGCCATCACAAGTGTTTGGGGACGATCATACAGAAAAGGAAAACAAGTTGCCACCTTCCGTGATGCCACCAGTGTTCAGATACATGCTGCCATTCAGGATGAACAATTCATGCAGATGCTCAAACTGACAGGCCACAACAAAGTCTGGGCAGTACCCAAGAATGAAGATGGCCGACTCACTGATGACTTTCGAATCATTTGGCTACCTCCTACTGTTGATCATCCCAAAGCAGCCACCATCACAGCCAAGGTCGCAGGACTTGCAGGGCTTGTCAGAGGAAAATCATCACTTGGAGTTCGGGTCAATGCTAGCATGTTTGCAGAAGCATGGAAAGCCATCAATCCAAATGTGAAACCTCCAGTTGACGTATCCAACAAGTGGATTTACAAGCTCGAACCCCTGCCGTATGGATGTAACTCTAGCATGTTGGAGGAATGGTCCCAGCACATCAAATGGGTCTTTCGGCCACTCAAAGCAACCGGTCCCAAAAGCTGGTTGATTTGCACAGGTGACAATCCTCCACCGGGCCCACTTCCGTTCAACGGGCACCCTGTCTTGCCGAGGTTTATGCCACAGAAACAGAGCTCCATAGTGCAGCCAATCCTTGCGGGTCCAAGAGGGGTATCAGCCAAATCAAATGCCACTGCACACTCTGCTGTGGCACCTATGCCAACCAGCCAAGACCCATGGTGGAATTACCTGAATCGTAATGCGCCACAGCCTGCACCAGGCCAGGCCCAAGCATCCACCCAGGGGCCCAATGAACAGAGATTTGCCCAACAAGATGCCAAAGTCCAAGAATTGGAATCCAAGCTTGAAGCCCTTACCAACATGCAAGAGCAGCACACCGGACAGATCCAGCAGCTGCATGCAGATCTCACGGCCACGGAGACCAAGCTTGTACACACTATGCATCAGACCCTGGATGGAGTCAAACATGAATTGGCCATGTCGTTTGGTGAGGCTCTCAGCAAGCAGACCAAGCAGTTTGAAGCCAATTTTTTGGATCTCAAGAAAACTCTGATCCAATCCAAGCGCAAAACACCTTCAGAAGGTGATGCCAATATGGATAGTTGACTGCCAGAAAAGAACCAACCATTAATTCATTTTGCATTTTATAGAGAACATTCGGATTTGCATGCGTTTTCTGTTCCCACTTTGTCACCTAAATCCGACTGTAATCATGCCAAGATTTTGCCGCAACAGCGCACCGTGTGTGCACTTAGCCAAATCAGAGCACGAAGAATGCTCACTTTTCTCAAGGGAAGGGATGTGGGGAATCGACACATGCCTCATCACTGTCACAGCCTTGCAGCCAGAGCTGCTTGTAACTGGGTAGTGCTATACTTTTGTTACTGTCTTGCCAACAATGTCCGACACCAATATGCACCCACTTTGGGTCATGCCAGCCGAATAGGTGAAGCTAAGAATCCGGGGCCAAACAGGGGCACATGCCTCATCAACATGGTCCTTGCCAATCCGACCAGTCTTGCCAATAAAAAGGATACTCTCAGTCAACTTTTAACACAAGAACAAGTAAATGTACTGTGCTTGGCAGAAACTTCTGCCACAGAAGAAATACAGTCACAATGCCAAAAGGACATGGCTAAACTGGGGTATAAAACCTTTTGGTCTAACCCTGTTGCACCACAAAGAACTTGCCAAAGTGGAGCAGCCAGCATCAGAGGCAGAGCAGGTGGCACGGCAATAATTGCCAACGTGCCCATGCGTAAGTGCAGAAACCCACTGCCACCGGATTGGAAATCCAGCACACGTATCACACATACCATTGCCAGTTGGGGGCAGTCACACATCCAAATTATCACTCTTTACAGCATTCCACAGAGCCATAACCAAGCCAAAGAATTTCTCAATAACATGTTAACCATGACGCTGCACCAAGCAGCCACAGTGCCATTACCTTTCATCATTTGCGGAGACTTCAATATGGAGCTACACCACTTGCCCATTTGGGAATCTTTCCTGCGTAAAGGATGCAGTGATTTAATAACACTCCATTTGCAAAAGTATGGAACGGAGATGAAACCCACTTGTCAAGGAGTTACACGACCTGACAATGCCATTGTGTCACGTCAACTCATACCATACTTGGGCCACATCAAAGTTCTTTCCCACGAATGGTTTGCCACCCACTGCCCGGTCTTTTTCAACTTGCAGTTGCCACAAGAATCCCTGTTTAAATATACCCTTAAGATGCCAAAAAGTTGGGTTGAACTTGCCGTGGATGCGCCTGACCTTCAAGCGGCATACCAAAGAGATACCCAAATCCCCCTTTCTACCACCCTGGAGGAATGGGGGCAGAAGCTCGAGGCTCTGGTAGATTCTAGCCTACGTGATGCCTACACCAAACACCCCACTGGTTTTTCACATTTGCCGAGATCATATCGAGGTAGATGCCAGCCAAGACAACCAGTGAAGACACCAGTGTATAGCTCAGTACGTAAGGCCAGACAGGGAGACTTTGAACCGCTATACGAAGTCAACACCATGCCGACAAAACGAAAAATCAAACAGACCAGAAGAATTCAAAATCTCTTGAGAAGAATCCAAAAACTTGAACAGGTTGATGTACCTAATCCCACTTACACTCATGAGTGTCAACAAGAATGGATCACCATCCTGAAATCACATGCTTTTGGAGTTCCTTTTCATGAATGGTTGACAGATATCCCTGAAATTGGACCGCCACAATGGCCTCTGCCTACAGCCGCATGGTTGCAGGAGGTAAATCAAATGGTCCAACACACAGTCACCCATGAGATTGCCAATGACCACTTGATCTTTGCCAAAAAATGCCAGTTTGCCAGGACATGCGATCAAAAATACCATGGATCATCCCAAGCTTTTTCGAAAGTCAAGGGGAAGCCTCCGGCACCTATCACTGAAGTATATTCGCCGGTTGAAGCAGAATGCATCCTGGTGTGGAATCATGACTTGCGACAGGTCGAATGTTTTTGCGAAGATCCCAGTGCCTTTACAGGTCTTGCACCAGTTAAGCTACTAGAATCTGTAGGATGGATAGTCCAACATGATAGCCATAGTTTCACAGTGCAATTCCATGACATGCCAGAGTTTGCCGAGGTGACAGCCACAGTCACACAGGCGCAATATGTCGTAGAACCAAGCCAAGTTGCAGACCAGCTTTCCAATTTTTGGACTCCCTTATGGCAAGCCCCCCATGATATGGATCAAAAAGATAGTTGGCCGGAGTTTGAACAACTGCTCCAACACCTGCCAGTTTTCGAAGATTCATTTCAGTTTGATGACTCTTTGCAACAATGGAAAGCCACAATCAAAAAAATGCGTTCCTCTTCCGCCAGAGGATTTGATGCAGTATCAGCTCAGGAACTCAAGTTGTTACCAGATGAAATGATCCAAGAGCTCATGATGGTATGCAATGCGTACCCTCATGGTTTCCCTGCCTGGTTCATGCGTGCCAGAGTATGCCCCCTAAGCAAATCAGAAGATGTCCCCAGGCCACGCCAAAGCCGACCAATTTGCATTCTTAGCCAAATTTACCGCCTGTTTGCTGGAGTTTTTTGTACACAGGTCCTTCGTTTTTGGGCCCAAAAATTTCCCCCAGCCATAACTGGCATGCTCCCCTCCAGAGGATCTCATGATGCGGCTTATGCAGTGCAAATCATGGTGGAGCTTGCAGGCATGAGAGGCCACTCCCTCTCAGGCCTTACACTGGACATCAAAAAATGTTTTAACTGCATTAGGCATGCGGCAGGACACCGTTTACTACTTGCATTGGGCCTACCAGAAATCAGAGTCAACCAATTCATGCTCAGTATCCAAAAAATGCATAGATTTTGGGAAATTAATGGACAGAGCATAGGACCTATCCATGCCACGTGCGGGTTTCCGGAAGGCGATGCTCATTCAGTGCTTATCATGCTTGCAGTTGCGTTACTATGGGCTTCCAACACACAAGCGGCCACTGGACCCACTTTTGTTGCCTCAGCCTATGCAGATAACTGGGCTTGGATCACCAGAAACTTTGAAGACAATGGCCCTGCTGCCAGTGCCACAGCGAAGGTCACCAATGAATGTGGTTTATCCATCGATTGGGACAAAACCTGGCGATGGGCAACCGATACCACTACCGCTGAAAACGCCTTGACTTCCATCCAAGCTGCCATTCCATCCAAGGAAGTCGAACGATGCCATAATGCCAAAGATCTGGGCCTCCAATTGCACTACTCAGGAACTAGAAACCTTGGAAGTAGAAAGGAAAGGTTTGAGAAGGGCATGCTCCGAATGTCAAGATTGAACCACTTGCCACACCCTCTCACAGTTAAAGAACATGTCCTCAGGAATAGCATATACCCCGCCATGTTTTATGGATCAGAACTTTTCCCAGTGTCCAGTGACATGCTGACCAAGGTACGAACTGCAGCAGCCGAAGCTCTCGTAGGGTCTTCCCATAGTATGTCCCCTGCACTGGTTCTACTTTTAACCAAGGGCGCCATTTTGGACCCTGAGTTTGTAGTCATGACTCAAGCGATGCGTACAGCCATACAATGGCTTTCCAAGCAGACTGCAGATGTTCAAAATGACTTTTTCCTTGCCACTGCCCAGTTTGTGGGAAATACAATGAATACGAAGGGTCCTGCTTCCACCCTAAAACACTATCTCAACAAGCTGTCGTGGAGTTTTGATTGCCAGGGCCATTTGCTTATTGATGGGGTCATCAAGTGTCACTTAGTGCGTGATGGTTTTCATACTATCCAGCGTTTCATGAGTTTGGCTTGGCAACAACAACTTGTGTTGCACTTGACTTCCAGGTTCAGTTTGTTTTCCATGCCTGACGTGTCCAGGAGTGATACTTTAGCCATCTTGAAAACTTTCCCTGACAAAAACCGTAGGCAGCTTTTACGTGAAATTTCAGGGGCATACCAGCTTGAAGCGCAGAAAGCGCATTGGGTTGAAGACAGCTCTGGGGTTTGCACTTTTTGTGGGGAGCAAGACAGCAAGGCCCATCGACTCTTTGAATGCCCCACATTCGCACACATCCGTGAACCATACACACATGTCTTGCAGTGTGCAGAAGAAGAAGGACTGACACTTGCAGATATGGCAGTGATACACTCTCATGCAGACATGCAGCTCCATCATGTTTTACACCATCAACAACCAAGTGCCATTGTGGCAGATGATTTCCATGCGTTTGCACAGCAGCGACAGAGGAATTCACAGCCATTCAACATCTACGTTGACGGAAGCTGTTGCAACCCGAGATTCCCAACATCTCGATTTGCAGCGTTTGCAGGGGTTATTGATTTGGCTGATAATGACTTTCACCGTCGAGAACTTGCATATGCCTTCAAAACCAGTGGAAGTGTTCCAACCACTTTTGCAACATGCTTTGCAGCCCGGGTGAGGGGCTTCCAAAATATCCCAAGAGCTGAACTTTTGGCATTGCAGACAGCAGCATCCATTCCATATGGGGTTATTCATTCCGATAGTAGCTATGCCATCCGGCAAGCGACTAAGGTGCTTTCTGATACTTCCAAGCTTTATGCAACTTCCAATGCTGATGTTCTATGGGAGATACATGAAATGCAACCAGATGTCCGACGATTTCGTAAGATTAAAGCACACAGAAACCTGCACGAAATCGATGACCTGCTTGACCTATACCATGCGTTAGGAAATCACACAGCAGACGAAGCAGCAAAACTAGCGTGCCAGAAGCTGAATGCAGATTGGTGCAACCAGATGCACCAATTCCATGAACAGACCAACACAGCGAGGACAATTCTGCGGGAGTGCTATCAACTACATATTGAACTGTTTCAGGCAAGAGCACAGGCCGTACAACAGATGACAAGGCAGGATGCTACAACACTCAATGCAGTTGATAAAGTTTCTCCAGAACATGTTTTCTCCAAAATTGTCCAATGGTCACCTACAGACATACAAGAACTTGTGTTTCCTCAGGGAGTTCAAGACTGGTTTTTGCAATTTTCATGGGGACCTTGGTGGGCAGATAAAGTTTTTTCGTGGATGCAACTTTTTCGTTGGCCCTTAGAGCCACAGGGGCCACTTGA